ATCAAGTTGTGTGAAACATAAAGGGAATACAGTACTGTAATTGGTTTTTCCACTATACTGTATAGACATTGTGGCATGATAATACAGTACAGTACAATAAAAAAACACATGTTTAAGTAATAAGAATGAATAAATGATAATAAACAAAGGAGTATGTGTGCTTAACTCAATTCCAGCAATCTTGCATATAAGGGGAAAATTTCATATAAAACCAATTGGATAGAGGTGGTTTGAAAAAATATAGCCTTAACTTGCATCAGCAGCATACAAAGAGAATCATTAACTGTCACACAGAAATATATAGCATGTTAACACAGAGCATACTCAGTTGAATTGTCAGGTTACCAAAATACTTATACCCTGTACATATGTGGCTATTTTTTTTACAGTGATAATAAAACCCCTGGGGATTGGCACCAGCTCTGTAAGACTTCTGCTGCCAAGTAAAAAAAAAAATTACACAAGAAGTATCATGATCCATGCAGGTATAATTCCTGAACCCATGGGTGCTTAAACTGGTACCAAGACACATACGGTACCAATTCCTTAATTGTAAGTGATGTGTGGTAACTGAAATACAAAACATTGTTTCTTCTTTAATAATGTACCTTGGTATAAACTATATCAATCACTCAAAGGGAAAACAAAATAAGGAAACAATAACTTTTGAAGAACAAATACTGTACAGTATTTTGCTTCCCATAAAATATACCGTATGTACGATGAAACAGTAAAAAATAAGAACTAATTTTTTTTTTATGATATTTACAGAGTACTGTACTGTATAATAGTGAAGACATTTTCACAGTAAAATTATTATTAAATGCTACATATACAATTGCTTCAAGCCCGATTCATAAATGCACACTAAGTCAGGAACATGTTGACTGGGCTAGGGTTTTGTACATTTTGGAAACTTCTTTAACCAAAATCTTGAAGTAAAGGAATACTTTTATCTACATAAATTTGAAGTGTGACTCAAAAAGATTAAAGTCTGTCTATCTTACTACCATTTCCAGCATTGTCATTCTTAAGGCTCAATCCTTAAAACAGGAAAACAATGATAAACATCTTAAAATTAAAATACATCATGTTTTTTATCGTACAAGCACAACACTTCCGCTTTAAAGGTCTGAAACCTGACTTACATGAAAATGTTTCAAACACATTAAAACATTCTCATGCAATAACACACTATACAACAAATCGCCAATTAAACTTTGCACCTTGCAGATGAACATCATAGTTGAACTTGAAGCCTTAATGAAAAATGATTACTGTACTATATTGTAAAGGCTGTTGTTTTATATCTTGTGAAAATTTCTCTTAGAGGGTAGAAATTTTATATAATGCTCTACATACCATTGTTATCACAAATCCCTCTCTTCTCTCACCACCATGTAAATCTTCTGATCACAACCTCCTCACTGGTTTATCTACTTAGGCAGAAATATTTTCTATCGTGCATAATATATCTCTACATATCCTCCTTTACAGCACCAACTTCTGCTAGGTTAATTAAACTCTCATTCTTTATGATGAATAATAATCTCTTCATCCCCATAATTTCTAAACCCACATCTGATGACACAAATTTGAAAAAGCACTTGCACAATACTACACCAATCTCCCCATAAGCCAATTGCATATATATTACAATAGGACAAATCAATCCTTTCAGAACACTCCACACGTAGTGTGCAAATATCTTTCAAAAATAGCCTTAGTTCTAAAGGAATTTTATTTTACAGTAATGTGTCAAATCACTGGACACTCACATGTCAGCATGTATGAAGAGTAAGCTGGAAATTCCCCGGTAATTATATTTCGGTAAAAGTACTGTACAGTACAGTATTGCCCAAATAACAACAAAATTAACTAATGTAAGCTGTATGGTGAGGATGTACACATACTTCTCTAAAATAATCAAATGGTTGGATTACAAAACAGGACAGTACAAATTTATAATCAAATATCTTTTCTGGTGGGTTTACAATGAAGTAAAATACTGTAGAGAAAGTGATAATTTATACAATCTATTCACCATAATTTTAATATAAAGGCGCTAGGCCGCACTGGTTCCCAAACTGGGGGCCATGGCCCCCCAGCAAAATTTAGGGGGCCATAAGCTGAGGCTATGTACACATAAAAATCCCAAGCCCCACCACACTAGAACAGCCAGTCAGCAGCTGAGCCAGAGATATGGATTGGGAGAGGGGGGCCATGGATAAGGATCATATATGAAAAGTGGGTAATGATCAGAAAAAGTTTGGGAACCACTGCGCTAGGGGATATAATTGCAAACAAAAATAACATAAGCTCAGTGATAAGACTACAGCTTTATATCTTAATGCCTTTTCCGAGGAATTTGTATTTAACAAAATTATCACCGTGAAGTTACACTATATAATAATATCTCCGGTAGCCGCAATCCCTCTTGACCAAAACTTTCTGAGCCGAAATTTAAATTTTCTCGGAAAATCTTTCCCAAAGATGAAATTTTCAGCTTGTTATGATTTTCTGAAAAATTCAGAGAAAAAATTTCCCAATACCCAAAAAATTCCGGGATGGGGGATTTCTTTTTCCGGGTTTGAGAGATGAAAATCATGCGCATTTTCCAGAAATTACGAAAATAATTTTCTGGTACTGGAAAATTCTGGGAATGGGGAATTTTTTCTAGCTTTGAGATGAAATAATGCATCATTCTGGTAAATTCCAGTGCCCGAAAAAATTCCAGGGATGGAGGATTTCTTTCCGAGTTTAAGAGATAACATTATGCGGATTTTCTGGAACTTCCGAGAAAATTTTCCCGGTGCCCAGAAAATTCTGGGAATGGAAGATCTTTTTCTGGCTTTCAGAGATTCTTCTTGTTCCCCTGAAATATCTCATTCCCGGAAGTGCTCTGCACCTTTTGTTCCGGCTAATGGAGATATCAGTACTGTATATTAATATTTGTAACGAATCTGTGTACAGGGTCCATCTGTGCTGAATAAAATCATATTGGCATTAGCCAAATAAGATGTTACAAGTGACATCCCTGTATTGACAGGGTTAATGTAAATATGCTGGGAGGGATATTTAAATAACTCACTGTTACTATTATTGTCAAATATGTTTGTGTTGAACAAAAATATCAATAACATGAACTCTCGAAGATTCGGACTAAAAGGGGTGACCAGCCGTCTGAAAAAGCCGATTGTCCGAATCTTCCGGCGAATGTACTAAAAGTATAAAAACAACAATTAAAAAAAAAAAATAATACAGTACCATCTTTTATGGTATATAAGATGCGCCCCCATTTTAGCAGGGCGTATTTAAGAAAAACTTCTGTGTGCATTTTCCTCCTGTAACCATAGTTTTCTTAAAATAATATATACAGTACCAGGAAATGTGAGGAATAAATAAAAAAAATATCAATAAATAAGTTACAACAAAAATACTGTATTGCCAAATCAGTAAATAAACGCCAAATGAATGTTTAACAGTTGCCATTTGTATACACTCCCTGCTTCACCATAGCAACAAAGACCAATTATTTCTTTTACTTTTTTTTTCACAATATGTATAAAGGATGATGTGCGCATGTGACCGAGTAAAAATAAATGAAGAAAGTTACATGTATGCAGTATACCCAAGAATACGAGTTGAAAAAGAACTATGACACCTCACAGCTTGGCCCCAGTAGCCCGGTGGTTACAGTGATGAGTCTAACCTGGCTACAATGCCACGATTAATCACAATTATATCAGTAATCACTAAATCCAGTGAAATATGGCAGGGAGCTAGGAGACGAGTTACGACGCTCTAACTAGTGGTCGGCCACTCACTCACTCCCATTGCCAGGCATACGATCGAAATACATATCTTGTAGTCCAATTTGAATATGATGATGGGCACAGTGATAAACAAATTATATAAACCATGCCTTTACCTATGATAATATAATAAGAAATGTATCATGACCAAAGTGAATGAAATAACATTCCCACGAACAATTGTCAACTGTTTCCCGACTCAGGCACCTGTGTCCCATGCACTGACAGCTTAGTTACATGGGCCTAAAAGGATGTTTGCTTTGTTTTGGGAATGCTTTTGAGGGAGGCTTCTTAACCCCCCGGCACCCGCAAATTTTTTCTGAATCTTCAAAATCCAGATTTACTGGGTCCGAATCCCTGAGGGTTCACTGTACTGTACAGTATATACACAATAATTTTTTTTTTTTTTTTTTTCATGCCGAGGTAATGAGAGAGATAGCAATATATTTTACAGTGTAGTATACAGACACTGGCATTGTGGTCAACTGTAACCTAGAGACAGTATAAGCAATGAAAATGATGGAAGACCATCAGGTTACTGAGATGTATTTTGTATTTTTAATGTTTCATCCCAAATAAACTTTCAAATGTACAGATAATTCTTGTAAGTACTTTATTTCATTTAGTGATGCTGTACTAATCTAAAACTATATATTGTACATGATTTTTACTGCATTAAGTGGCTGTGTAAAGTTAGGGGTAGTGAGGGAGGGCAGAAAGATGGGCCACACCCCACTCCCAAACTCCTTCATAATCTTAATCACTACTCAATGAAGTGAAAATTATATCAATTATTTGTTTCCAGTAATTAACTTCCACTGAACAAAATTAAGTAAAGTAAATCCTCTCTCTTCTTTGTGGAATGCATTCCTGTGGATATTTTTTGGTCATATTTGCAGAAAAAATATTAAATATCTTCCAAAAAGAAAGTACCGTATTGTAGCAAGTCTAGTAATATATAAATAAAACTATTTATGCGAGAGAGAGAGGGAAAAAAAAAAAAAAAGGGTACTGTATTGAAAATTCTATTGCAAAATACTTTAAGTTGGAGAATATGTACACACACGCACCAATAAGTATCGGTGCAGGGTGAGATCGAAGAGTTCTGAAACGATACGTATACACTGTGATATGTCGGGAAGGTTGGAAAGTGTATTCTCATAACCCCCTCCACTAGGTGTTGCCATATGGCTGACAATCAGGGCTGCCAACATATGGCTGGAACAACTCGCCTTTCCCAATACCTATCGTCACTGGTCTCAAATTGTTCACACTACAGTATGCACTGATACTTTTTGTAGCGAGTGTACATCACTGTGAAATCCTAGCTGTAATGTTGTATACAGGAACTCGGACAGGAGTTGCATTCTTTCAACTGATGTGTTGCGCCAGGTGGTTAGTTAGACTACAGCCTGCTGACAGAAATGCTACCTAATGTAATTCTGATGTTTTCTTGGGTATTTTTCTTATAACTATAAACCAAGAATCTAAAAATTTCAAGAGATGGTTGAATTGTTACCATACACATTTATCAAAGGAAGCAAAGAGCAACAATTAAGAAAAAAAAAATAATAGTGCTGGGCAGTAACAATCCATCTGATCACAGCAAGCCAGCAGAGCAACTATGAATTTTTTTTGTTTTAAATCTTTGACATCTTAAACAGTAACAAAGCAAATTCAAATAAGCCTTATTTACACATTGAAATATGATATACTATACAGTAGACCCTTGCCATTTGCGGGTTTGCGATTCACGGTAAGCAGATGGTGGCTAGCTTGCGAGCTTTTTCCAGCAGCGAAACGAGTCACCCCACGCGCCCGCAATGTCTCCTCTCCTCTGTTCGTGCTAAACCATTGCCTGTGATGCAGCATCTTGTGTTGTACTTTCAAAACTTCAGTGTTAGTGTGTGAAAACGGCCCCTAAAAGACTGCCTAGTGTCAGTGCTAGTGATGTTAGTGGAGTGAAACGTAAAAGGCATAAGTCAATGATAACCCTGACAAATAAAGTTGAATTATTAGACAAGTTAAAGGAGGGGATGAGTACTGCCCCAGCTGGTTGGTTGTTTGGTTTACATATACAGTAGTTGCACTAAGATAGTACAAATTGCTATTCACGGTTTTGCCTATTCATGACACTCCTTGGAACCTAATCCCCAGAATAACAATGGTTTAGTGTACTGTATACTAAATCAACAGAGTATAATACTCACCATATATGGTGAAGGAATTATTTAGAGGTTGCCCAAAGTAGTGACGGTAGCATGCAAATTTTGAATTATTAAAAACTACGTTAATTTGAACCAATGCAATTTAAATCAGCATTTGTCAACTACGGTTAAGTGAAATAATGGAACTAGAAAAAAGTAAATAAGAGGATTTAATGTACTTGCTAAGAATCATTAATGTATACTGTACAGTACATATTAAATCCTTATTAGGCATACTGTACATATATTGAAGGTAACTTTATAGGTAAATATATATTGAGTACTGTACAATCAAAGGCTACAGGTGAGTAGTCTTTGATTACCTCAGGGATTTGCATCCCGGCCTAGCCAGCTGTCCCTACCTTGTGGGTTAGCACAAGGTAGGGCCTCTTCCTGTACAACTTTGCTTCAACATGCCTGATGACAACTGGGTCACCGGAGCTGTGCCCATCCTCCGGTCTCGGCTGCATCTTTTGGGCTGGAACCCCGTGTTTGCTATGGTGAGAAGGGAGTGCGACACCCCATTCTGGTTTTATTCAACAGTTGCCATCAAGAATTCATAACAAGCCCATGGAAACGTAGAGCAATGCTGTAAAACGTTCATGATGATAATACACAGAATAAGGTTTTAAAATGTACAGCATACCATCATAAGTACTTTATTTTATCCTGTAAAAGTAGAGTACATTACTGTACTCAAATAAATTATATTATTTGCCTTGTATTGAGCAACTTAACCCTCTCGTGGTCTTCCGATGCAAATTGCATCGCTAAACATTCATGTGCGGGAACAACCCCCCCCCCACCCTGTTCGACCGTATCTCACACTGAGAACACCCCTTCCGTAAGCAGAAGCACTGGAACAGTGGACTGGCCTTATCAATCACCTAAGTAACTCCCACTAGCCTTGTAGGCAAGCAGATACATCTCTAAGAGTACAATTTGGGTTTGAATCGCTCTACCCAATGTTTACTAAAATGGAAATACCGTTCCTAATGCAACCTGTGTTGAAAGACTAAGGGGGTGAGACTTCCGACCATGGTCAAGAGTACCAGAGAGATTAGTGTGTAGTTCTGGTAGCAGTGAGGGAGGATACAAAGCAATCTTGCCCCTCCCTTTCCAACTATAATACTATTTTAGATACAGTAGAACTTCGATATAAAGCGAGATACGTTCCAAGAGAGAGAGCTTTAAACCGAATTCGCACTAAATCGAAGTGTTGTTTCAATGGAATAATTTAATTTGGTAATTGAGAGAAACACAAAATACTGAGTCTACCCAGATGCACCTCAGCCCATCTCCTAGAATAATTTTTTTTTTTTGGGTAGTATTATGTTAAAAGAAACACTGATAAATCAACACGGCTAAAATTAAGGTATGCAAAATGGTTTGTTTACTGGCTGGGAAGCTGGGGGGAGGGGGAAGTGGAGGGAGGTGAGGTGATATGTTTGACAGTTGATGCCAAGGTCTAGTGCTTATTTATTTATCTGTCCTTAAGAGTGACTAGTTTTTTCTTATAAAATGTCACTAAACTGACCTGGGAGAATATAATTAACATTGCTGGAATTCTTATAGGATAATAATTAGTTTGAATATAAATATGCTATAGTTTGCATTAGACATACAAATTTTAGTTCTAACTAATTTTATTAAAGGGCTAAAACTTTTATCTGTTGTGCAAAATATATGACGTTTATATTCAAATTATTGTATTCACGATCTTGCATGGATTCTAGCAAAGCAAATTATATTCTCCTAACTTTAGACTATGATATTATATAAGATAAAAACTGTAAGCCTATAACCACCAAACCCGGGCTGGGAGGAGGGAGGGAGGGAGGGGGGTGGGGAGGAGGTGAATGACATGTTTGACAGTTGGCACAGAAGGTCTAGTGAAGTATTTATTTGTTTATTTATGTCTTTTAGATTGAGTTTTTTTTTATATAAAATGTCACAGAAGTGACCGGGGAGAATATAATTTACATTGCTGGAATTCTTATAAGATAGTGATTAATTCAAATATAATCATGCTATAGTTTGCAATAGACAAAGATTTTAGAAATCATTTAGTAAATTATTTTGAGTACATGTACAGTACAGCTTTGCCCTTAGGACAGTGTAGCGTGCCCAGAGAAACATTAGGCGCAAATTATAAAATATGATGCGTCAGCATGATTCACGCAAAATATGAAAGAGTCACTTTAAATTAAAAATTTTCCTCAATTGTGGGTGTCGCTTTAATTCAATAATCATAAATTGAATCGCTTTAAATCGACGTTCTACTGTATTGTATTAAAAAATAAATAAATAAAAAATTTAAAAAAAATAGGAAGGCAAGTGTCTGTCCCATACAGTATAAGTATGATAGATAAATGGATATCAATTCAGTTATGATATTCATACAAGTTCACTGGCCCACAATGGCAATTACGTTAATTCAACTAGGGACAGTCTAAGTATACAAGGTTATACTGTACTGTACTTGGTGGAGATGTGTTGCAAAAGCTTTATTATAATGACATTTACTGTGTTTTGGACCATTCAATGGAATAATTAGTCTGTTTAAGTGAACAGAGTACTGTACTATTGTGTTTTATCTCTCAGTGGTATGCCATTATCCATTCCATCTAAAATAACTATCTAAATACCATATATACAGTACTCTTCTTTGTCAGATATCAAAATCTTTAAAACTTTACTGAAACTTCAAAAAAAGCTTCACAATCCATGCTAGTATAGTTTATCAGCATACCCATTACATACTGCATATAAAACTCATGAGATACCCCAACAGATGCACAAGTGAAGGCACACTTAATGCACACAGTTTTGAGTAAGTATATATATATATATATATATATATATATATATATATATATATATATATATATATATATATATATATATATATATATATATATATATATATACTCTGCATATATAAATACAGTATATATATATATATATATATATATATATATATATATACTGTATATATATATACTGTATATATATATAGCTGGTGGCACTGCACTGTGTGCTCTCCTGAGACTAAAACTTCATGTACTATAAAGGAAAAAATATATAAGATTATCACACCACTTGTGTAAATACAAACATTATATACATTCAATGATAATCAATATTAAAGAATGTCACTCAAACCACACACACAAACTGGTTTTAAAATTCTGTGCATTGCTAAGCTCAAGAAGGTGCAAAAGGACAATAGGCTTAAAATGATAATTTCCCTGAAGGGGGTCACTTACCAGATCAATCTTAATATTCCTTTCTCCATAATGGTGAGCTCCTGCCATTGACATCTTAGACATTTTTCAAAATATTGTCACTGAAGTCTTTAATTTTATATCAGATGTCAATTATTACATACATTTTTATTATCAAAGAACTTGTACTCTTCTCTGTATAATTTGTACAATCTTCCATCCCCTTTTTATCAAATATCTATATCCCAAACTTTCTCTTCCTGTCTGGATATTTTTTCATTTTTAATTTATCATTTAATTTTAATCAAGTATTTACCATATTTGCTACTAGTAATTGGGCAGTGACAAGTTTCAGTTTTATACACATGCGAATTACAATAAACTTATGCTATAACATGTGAATAATTTTCTTCACTTTATCACCATCATAAATAAACATTGTGGATATAGAGAAAATATCCAAACCTAACATCCTATATGAATAAACAAAACATATTCCTGGAGTATGCCATTTAACAAACTGTAAAGTGTCCATATAACCACAATGGAATAGTCAAGGATGTACATCAAATGGTATTAAGTTTGTATTCCTGATATTTATAGTTATACTGTACCATATTGCAGTGTCACTATGCCATATACTTCTCATCCATATTTCAAGGTAATCTCTTTATATACTGTACAGTACTGTATATGTTTCACCAAACATATTTGTTTATATAATACAAACCCCACACTAAAGGGGACATTCAATCAACCTGGCAGGGTATTCAACTATTTTGTAACAGTATATAATTTGTTTCTATGAAAATAATAAACATGTTCAGTGAATAACCACCTACATATAGTGATAAGCATTTATGATGCCAAGATTATATTTGTCATCTAACACCTTCACTCAACTTAAGTTTTTAGAGAAGTTTGATACAGCATATGTATTCCACAAAAAAATAAAGGGACTGCACTATATGACTCATTCTCTCTCTCTAGACTGAAAACATTAACAATCAAAGGCTGCATTGAAATGCACTGTGGTTGCACATTATTGGTAATGGTGAATACAAGGTCTATATCTTTAACATGTCTAAGATTATTTTTTATATCAACGTGAAAACTCGAGCTCATTAGCTCCAAAACAAGTGATTGGAATTTCATAAATTCAGCCTAGGCTGACAATGTCAAAGAGGATAGAGAAGGAATTCTTTACTTGTGATTAGATATATAAATCCTGTACATCGCTATTTACCAAATCTATACTATATAATTTTTAGACATTCTTATATAGATCATGCAAACCAATTTACAGCTCTACCAAGGATTTTTCCAAAATAAAAACCAATGGCAGAAAAAAGTGCAATATCATGGTCCTGAATGACCATGCTACATAATTTACATAAAAAATAAGCATGATAAAAATAATTATTACAAAATAAGTATATTTAGAAATTTATTCACTTCATCAGTAAGCTCATTATAAATTGTTCAGTACAACCTATGCAAAGGAGCTCTTACATATAAATTTGTGGGTAATAGTTCTATAATAGCCACATTTGTGTTCCAAATACTGCGTGGGAAGAAGTACTGTAGATCAATATCGATGTTTCCTCTCTTTGTCACGGGAACGACTTCTGTGGTGTCGTTCTCGACTGTAAATAAGATTGTTAAGAAGAATGAGTACCAAGAGATAAAATCACAGTGACATCTACACTAATTCATGTACAGTAGCCTTGGGCTATTTTGTATTTAGAGAGAGAGAGAGAGAGATACGTAGAATATAAAAACACACAAGAGGAGACAAGATGGCATTGTTTTCATGCGTGACGGTGGTTCTACATAAGAAAATAATATCCTGGCTGTATCTGTAGTGAACTTAATTTAAAAAAATTGAATACCTGTATGTATGTTTTAAGTAATGTTATTTAATGTTAATAAATGGAACACTAAAAGTAGCTAACCACTAATGGTAAAGAAATAAGGCGAGATGATTGGGAACGCCAACGTATGAACAGTAAGTGCGTACATGTGAAAACATATCGTTATTTCTCGACATATGAATATGAAAGCAACACTTATTTACTGTTCATATAAGTTTTAAATAATATTTACGAATGTAAAACAAAAATTCTATTCACCAATGGTGGTAAAGTCTAAAATATAAGGACAGCCAATGAATGTTGCGCGAGTTTTTACTCATATGACGAAGTCATCAGGTTCAACTCTGGCTGAAGCTGTAGCTTTCCATAAAGCTGTTGCTGAAACTGTTACTAAACCTGAAGTTGAAACTGCTATGATGTTTGATTGTGTAGCTGAAGTTGATGGTTTAGGCCTTCGAATAACAAAGCAGTCGAAAGAACCTTGCACAGCTGCTTTCTTTTCTCATTATACATCTTTATGTAGAGGTCATTTGCATTTATTTAAATCTTAATGCTTTGTTCTGTTAATGGATCCACTTCAGAAATTATGTTCATTGCTTGCTCCATATAATATCCAGGGACCTCTCACCTTTTTCATATCGTTATAACACATTTAATTTCACGGCTAAGCTTAGACACTTTCTATTAGCTTTTGTAACAACACTACCATCACTTGCTCTCTTGCTCATGTTGAATAGGGAGGCAAAAATGCTTTAAGAAACCTGAAAATTTTTTTCTCCTGTTCCAGATGCGTGAAAACGAAAGGCCCGCCAAGCTCCGACTGCTGTTTACCACTCATTAGCAAGGCAGCTTCTTTGAACAAGGCGCTCTTCATTTCTCTTAATAATTTTTTTTTTATAATACATATCGGGATTTAGTTATTATTTATATGAAAATGTACCAGGTAGTCCTTTTCTCCATGTGGTTCCCTGCCAAATGCTAGCACCTCTGCCAACTCTGGCATTTACGATGCCAAGGAGCACAACCTTATCTTCTCTGGGGATAGAAGTTAGCACTCGGTCAATTGTCGGCGTAAAAGGACTCCTTGGTGTCATCCTCTGCATCCAGTGTTGGGGTATATGCACTGATAAAAAAAAGGCATGGTGCGAGTGATTCAGTGGGACTCGAAGCGTCACGAGGTGCTCGTTGATCCCAATAGGCATTTCGGTTAGCCTGTGTAGGATGCGTTGGTGGATGGCAAAGCCAACTCCATAAATGCGGTTTCTCTTCGGAGCAGACTTACCCTTCCAAAAGAAGGTATAGCCAGACCCCCGTTCTGTGAGATGGCCCTCATCTGGGAGCCAGGACTCACTGATGGCTGACAGCTCTTTTGCCACAATGGCAGTTCGCCTCTCAGGACGCTCATTTGTGCCAGTATCCAGAAGAGTCCCGACATTCCATGCAGCGACCATAAGACATGGTATGGTTTGTTTTTGTTTGGATCGGTGATTTTGATTGTTTTTTTGACCACATAAGGATGACCTTACTGGGTGTGATTGCCCAGTCAGGTTGGGTTTTTAGGCAGGCTATGTTTATGGCACCTTTTCTAGCCCCCTCCCTATGTTGGGTGTGCAGAGTGGCTCTTCAAAAGGGCTGCCCAGTCGCACAGACAGGACCGGATTGCACTGCCGCCTAGATCCCAGTGCATAAACGACCATCTTATCTGTGCCGCCCATGAGCAGAGTTGTGACTAGACTCCGGCAGTCATCTCTGCCTATCTCTGTCGCCATAGAACTTTTGGGGGTATAGGGATGTTGATGATGATGATGATAGGTATGATGAACTGGATAATGGCTGTGCGTGAGCTGATCTATGTGGTGAGGCAGGAGCGCAGGTTGCAACCACACATCTTGGCTCTCCCTTTTCCTGATCCAGTGGTGCAAGTGTTGCAACGACTGGGGAGAAGGAGAGTTGCAATGGACTGCCGATAGCCCAGTTTGTTGAGTTTCGCTTTAGTAGCCTGTCCATCAGGCATTGCCTTCGTCCGCCGGCGGTAGTCGTTAGATTTCCACGCCTATACCACCATTGGGGTCTTGTTGGAGCTCTGTAAGCATGTCTGCCTGATGCAGGGCTCCAACGCAATTTTATCATTCGGGGTTTACTCCTGTAGCCTTATGCCTACCAAGGTTAATCCGCAAGGCAGCGAGGCAATGGCTGGCAGGTGCCAGAATGTGTCCACTTGCCAGTGGGCCTATGCACCATCCCTCTGAGGCCCACTGCTACTCCGAGATCCCCTGCTGGTCTAGCCTGGGCCCACGAGGCACCCAGTTACTGTGTTGCCACAAGGAGGCACAGCAGGAGTCTTGATGGTGAAGAAGCTGTGTATTGTCAGGGGAAGACTTATGCAAGTTGCTTCCCTGTTCACCACGAGGGATCGCCAGCGGTGGCAGCTGGAAGCGAGAGGGAGCAAGCAGTGCTTGCACCTTAACACTAACATAGTGCTGCCACACTAGACGCATTTCACCACCCTGTGTGCGAGACACACACACACACATACAGTGCCATGTTTCACAACCATTTCTGGAGCATTGATGCTATAAAAGTTGTTGATCAGTAAAATACTCTAATGCAGCTTAGAAATAAATATAATATAATGTAATATAAAACTATAAAATAAGAACAAATAAAGAACACGTGTGAGAGTGGGTGAAAAGTGAGCCGCCTGATAACTGAAGAGCCAGCCCTCCCTTCCTCAATGTGACGTCACATACACACATCATTTGTATAGAAGTTTGGTGTTAATACAGTAAAACCAAAAATACAGTGCCATATTTTATGGCAGGGAGTATTTAGGTAAAAAACCTTTTGTGTGTAATTTTCCTCCTGTAGCCATAGTTTCCTTAAAATAATATAGAGGGGGTCCCAGAATTAAGTGATTTTAGATGTACTGTAGATGAGGACTTAAGCTATGATACTATAGTGGGATTTTAAACAATGTTTTGTAAGTATGGTATGCACATAGCATGTGTTCCAACTTATGTACACATCCGACTTAAGAACGTACTCAGGAACAGAACCCGTTCGTAACCCGGGGATCCCTTATATATTATTTAAAGAAAACCAGGAAATGTGAGGAATCAATAAAAGTATTACCAATAAATAAGTCACAACCAAAAATACTGTTTTGCCAAACCAGTAAATATGGAAAGTTTAACACATTCGCCATTTGCATACACTCCCTGCTTCACCATAGTAGCGAAGATCGACTGGGACGCCGATTCCCAAGCTACTCTCCCCCAACCCCAACACTCTGTGCTCTCCCCCCATTACGTGTTTGCCCTTAGGACAATTATTTCTTTTACCTTTTTCACACTATGTATGTAGGATGGTGTGTGCATGTACCTGAGTAAAAATAAATGGAGTTACATATATATCGACCCGAAAATACGTGTTAAAAAACAACCATTACCCCTCACAACTTGGCCCAGCAGACGACGCAGACTGGGTCCATTTTAGCAGTGGGGGAGTAAACACAGCATACGGACCAAGAGATCGGCCACGTGATTGGTTTAAGTGGGAGCATTGGTCGTACCCTGTACGGTATATAATGGTTCCCCTAATCTGTACCATTTACATTTATTCTTATAGCAAAATTATGTTTAATTTACGCATTTTTAATTAAGCTGTGATTTTCAAGAATGTAACCCCCGCGTAAAATGAGAGGTGGGTGTATACCATTTGGTACTAAATTTAGGTAATGTTAATAAATAATACAAACAGATGTATGACAATAGGTCCATACAGTGATAGTCAATTGTAGTAGCGATGATGCGAAGGCAATACCTCTGAAATGTCAGTTGATCTGATGCACAGGTACTTGGGATGTAAACAATCCCTGTGCTGGACAGTTCCTAGTGAACATGCCCTGTTCCAGTAAGTATTTGTAATGTGTAAACCGTAGATACCTATATAATTAATAATTATATCCTTTTTTACTAAATTAGGCAAATTTAATTAATAAAACCAACAAATGTTTGATAATAGGTCCATAAATTGATAGTTAGCTGCAGTAGTGAGAAACAAGATGGCATATAGCCTGCGACTTGGACTTGCCAGTACAGTAGGCTATTAAATCCACAAAAATTATTTTTCCACAATTATATGGCATGTCTTATCACTTGTAGCATCATGAGAACTAGGAAATATGGTAATACAATACCCAGTTCCAAAGCATTCCTATACCTTAGGGATGGAGGGATCCGATTCACCCAATTCATGTTTGTTATGAAATAAAATTTATTAACCCCTCATTTATACTAACACAGTGGATTGAAGGACACATACACTTCAGCAAGAGGATAATGATGGGCAGATAGGGACAAACACCAAGCCATAGCATGACCCTCATCCTTTACCCCAGGAACCAAGTAAAGCACCACGATTCCCAGGTGTCATACACTCCAACTACAAAAGGCACTATCTGGATGTCCTTGGAGGGAAATTTCTCTGTACTTACTCCTTTCCTGAAGGATTGAGTGCAAAGAATATCTTAGGAAGGGAAAGTAAAATAAATCTGCCCTAGGTCCAGGGTGTGAAGAATGCAACAGACATTAGTTAGCTCACTGGTTTCACTATGTTGAAAAACCTTAGACTCCATACTAAGACCCATGTTTAACAACCTAATGATGATTGAACCTGTCTGTCCCCAAATGTAACTGTGAATTGCCTTTCGTAAACCAAGGAAATAAAAGGATCCCCATCCTGCTTGAAGCCTGAAAAATATTGTCTCAGGCTTGTCACTAGTGGTCTAGTTTTTTAACAACTCAAATACTTTGTTAGAGACTGGCCCACAGTAGTGAAGGACCAAGAGAAACTATTTGAGCAAAACAATGGGAAGGCCTTGCAAAACCTTCCCTCCCTCTTCCTTGGTGCCAGGATTCACAACCCAAGGCTACCTTCATTATATGAAACTCAAGCTATGGCACAGCAGCACAGACCCACAGCTTTCAGCTTTTAGGCAGCTGGTTTATAAGAGCCATTTATAAGGTCTGTAGTTGTAAAGGGAGAGATCTAATATTTTATATTTAAGTTTTAGTGGTTTCTGGAGTAAAGCCGTCAAAAAAATGGAGGGTTCTTGCAACCCTATGCTTAAATCTGTATTAAAAGAAAAGAAAAAAATATTCACATAAAACAAGAAAGTGTACATATTATAAAACTTCAACTAAACATACCTGCCCTCCTTTTTCTTCTCCTTCTTAATACGATACTTCTCTCGTTCTAAGAGATCATCAAAATCTCTATGATTTTTTTCTTCCATGTATCTGTCACCACGGTGACGATGTTTCTTGTCACGGCTGTGAGTGAAAATACAATTAACATACTTAAAAAATACAAAAGCTAATCTACAATACAGATTTATTCTCTTGGTTTACCTGGTTACCCATCAGTAAGGTATCGTTCCCAATTTTCATATAGGTTTATTTTCTTAAGCCATCCATTGTGGACAGGTCACATATGGAACAGTCTGCGTCCGGCAGTTAACTGTGGATGTGGCATATATGAAAAGGAAACCCATTGTATATCAAAGGTGCCGCAACGAGGGTACATTTGAAATTCAGATCAGCCGCATTGGACGGGTTAATATATACAAAGAAATTTGCATCTACGGTACTTAATTTACATTGATCTACCACATTTTGCTGGGAATATTTATGGTAACTACGAGTACCTGTACTTGGGAAAAAATGCTTACCTTCGACTGCGACTTTTTTTCCTCTCTTTGTCTTTATGTCGGTGACGGTCATGGTCTCTTTCTCGGTCACAATCCTTCTCTCGATCTCTTTGTCGGTCTCGACCTTTTTCTTGATCCCCATTTCTTTCACGAGGTTGTTCACGGGGCCTGTCATGAGATTTTTCATTCCGCTTGTCATATTCCCGATCTCTTTCTCTGTTTAAGCCCCGTTCACTTTCTCTATCTTTCCCTCGATCTCTTTCATAATCTCTTCCTCTGTCTCTTTCACGGTCCCGCTCGTGTTCTCTTTCCCGTTCCCGGTCACCTCCTCTTTCTCTTGAGACATAATCTTTATTCCCTGAGCTGTAAAAGGAAACAAATTTATTATAAGTGACAAAATGACACGTTTGAGTGATAAGTGCAATAAAGGGGAGCAGAAAAAGCTTGAGTTATATTTACAGTATATATAATATAGTGATATCTCCATTAGCTGGAACAATTGGTGCAGAACACTCCCGGGCACGAAAGAATTCCGGGTAACGAGACGACATTCTCAAACCTGGAAAAAAATCCCCCATCCCCAGAATTTTCCAGGTACCTGGAAAATTCTCTCAGAATTTCCGGAAATTGCGCATTACATCTCTCAAATCTGGAAACAATCTCCCAAGCCTGGAATATTATCGGGAACCGTACCAGAACTTTCTAGAATGATGCCTTACTGTATTTCATTGCTCAAACCCAGAAAAAAAATCCCAATCCCGAAATTTTTCGGGGATCCAAAATTTTTTCTTGGAATTCCGGAAAATGCGCTTGATTTTCATCTCTCAAACCAGGGGAAAAAATCCCCCCTCCTCGGAGTTTTCCGGGTACAGGAAAGTTTCTGAAAACGACGATTCATATTTAAAACCCTGGTTAATTGAGGACCCAATTAAATTTACACGGTAGTTTCCTTTGTATTTACGACGAAAATAGAATAAAAAATTAAATTAAATTACATTTTCATATAAATAGTCAAATCCCGATATGTATTATACAAATAAAAAAACAAGCCTTGCGCACGGAGGCTGCTGAGCTTGTAAGTGGTGACGCAAGCATCACTAGTATAAACAACCGCTGCTTGGCAGACCTTTTGTTTTCATGTATTTGAACATGAAAAGGAGAAAAACTTTCTCAGGTTTCTTACGGCACTTTTGTGTCCCTATTCAACATGAGCAAGAGAGCAAGTGATGGTAGTGTTGTTTCAAAAGCTAAAAGAAAGTGTATTTGCTTAGCCGAGAAACTAAATGTGTTAAAACGATATGAAAAAGGTGAGAGGTCTGTGGATATTATATGGAGCAAGCAATGAACATATTTTCTGAAGTGGATCCATTAACAGGATGAAGCATTAAAATTAACAGGGACTTGAAAAACACACATGACCAAAACATAAAGATGTAAAATGAGAAAAGAAAGCAGCTGTGCAAGGTTCTTTCGACAGCTTTACTATCTGAAGGCCTAACAGATCAACTTGAGCTACTCCATTAAATTCAGCATTAGCAACAGCTTCAGCAACAACTACAGGTTCATTAACAGTTTCAGCAACAGCTATGACACCTTTATGGAAAGCTACAGCTTCAGCCAGAATTGAACCTGATGACTTCGTCATCTGAGTAAAAACTCACAATATTCACTGGCTGTCCTTATGTTTTAGACTTTACCACCATTGGCGAGTAGAATTTTTCTTTTACATTCGTAAATATTATTTAAAACATATATGAGCAGTAATAAGTGTTGCTTTCATATTCTTATGTAGAGATGTGACGATATGTTTTCGCATTTATGCACTTACATACATTGGCGTTGTGCAGTCTCACTTTTTTCCTTTACCATTACATTTCTGTAATTTTACTACAGCTACAACCAGGGACTTATTTTCTTCAGTTTCAGATGGATAACTGACATGAGTGTAAACACTGACAACAATAATGGCGTCCCAACTCTTCTTGTGTGACCATATTATTATTGATTTATACTGTACAAGGTGCATTCATAAACATAATTTAATGAATATAGTTTGCATTTTTTAATTAATTTTATTGTTTTTTAGGGAAAGAGGGTAAAAAGCTACACAAAAGATACGAAAAGGCCAGACTTTGAAACAAATCTCATTATTGCTTAATTTTAATGTTAATTAATGATTCACGATACGAATATTCACCTTGCACTGCAATATTTGAAGACACATTACCGTCGTTATTCAAGGCTTTACTGTACCGGGAAAATTTTAATGGAATTTTCCAGAAAATGTACCCCTCAGATAATCATTCCCAAACCCGTAATTTCCGAAAAAATTTTCTGAGCAAATTTCAATTTCTGCAATCAGAGAGTTCCAAATTTTGAGGGATTCCAGCTAACGGAGATATTACTATAAAGCTATACCATATCTGCTGGCCTAAAAGACACCCCCCCCCCCCAAAAAAAAACCAGCCTGCACCTTATGCATTTATATTACTGAATATTGTTGGGCAAGGGATGGTAATTTTCAATATTTACATATGCTTAAGGTCACATGTACTGTAATCCTCTAAGGAACCCCAAAATATACAAATAGAAATTTTGTGTTACTATAACAAATACAGTAGCATCTCGATACACCAGACAAATAGGAGCATACCCTAGTTCGGAAATTGCGAAAGTCTGAAAAGTGATTCTATAGAAAGGGGGGAGGGGGTTCCTGGACATAACACTGCTTATCTAAACTGTAGTGTATTTATAATTGGTTAGTAAATAATATTGTAGTATATTATGCATCTGCATATTCCCTGGTTTACTCATTAATTAGTTGTCTAAGTGTACAGTACAAGTAGCCAAATCGAGCCATCATGCATCGCTCAAACGTGATAAATAACATTGTTAGGAAGGTTTATCCACATCAAATACTATGGTGACCCTGTTGTAAGTTGATTTGCTAAAAGTTCTCACTCCAGGAAAGCTTCCAAAGTGAATACAGTACCTTCCCGTATGTATATTCTCTACATTATTTTACCCATTTCTTAAAACCCTGAAGTATCCATCCCCATTAAAGACTTACACTGAGACACGCACGCAGACATTCAACCACGTACACACACATGTTGTCTTCAGTTCCCATGGAGTGAAAACGTACTAGGTGCTTCCCTGCTCACATGGAGTGGTCATTTTTGACAATGAACGCAGCTGCCAGCCCATCTCCTCCCCACCAAGATTTATCAATATCCTCCCACAACCGATATAAAAAAGTGACAATTTCAATTCAAAAGAATGAAAACAAGTAAAAGACAGCGACTAGTTGAAACCCCGCGGTCAGTGGTCACAACCCATATCGCTCTTTCCGCCTACCACCTTACAAACACTAGATATCAACTGAAGACTCACAGTCACATCAGAAGAGATACGAGGACTCCCAACTTCACCTACCAAGACTACGTGATGGGAGAGGAAAAGAATAGAGGGAGCGGTTAGGACTGCCCTTAGCATATGACTAAACCATAACAAGAACTGTGCTAGGGGCCACTATCAAATCACAAAGCTGTTTTAGAGACTGGCTCCTCCACTACCCTCATCTGTAGCTAATTTGTATGTTCACTCCATGTTTCTTATCTTTTTGTACTGGAAGCTTTGTTAATCAAGTACAGTACTGTAACCCACTCCCCAATTTCACTATACATTAAGTTTTATCATCTCTGTTCATTCTATATTTTCAGCTTTTTGGATGTCATGTTCTTTTAAAAAGCCATTAATTATTATTGCTATTTTATTATTATTATTATTATTATTATTATTATTATTATTATAAAACCATCCAGACTGATGCTGGATTTTCCAGACTTTTTAAAATACCTCTGGTGACTAGAGGGGCAGTCCGAGGCACCTCGGAGAGCCCCCAAAAAGCGTAGAAAGTACAAAACACATTTTATTCAAACAGGAAGCGTGAAACTTGGGAGGAAAGTTCACAGATGTCGCAAGGTGGGGAATTTAGAGGTAAGCATGAAACTTGCAAGATGCGGAATTCAAACAGCTTGAAACTTGCAAGGCCACTGTACGTACTTGTATCTATAAATCCATCATTTGCATCAGGTATTTGTATATTTAAAGCAACATATATTGCAAATGAGGTTCTGTTCATGCAGCAACATGAAAAATCCAGGATAAAGGAGCTTATTGGTAAGGATAGCCTATCACAAGCATATACAGGTACTCCTCGACTTACGACCACCTGGACATATACGACTGCCACAGTCGTATAAAATTTTTTTCAAATTACGTATTTTTGAGTCCCAACGTTAGTGATCACGCTGTGTACTGACAAAATTTTCATTTGTAATTCCCTGTAAAATGGCTGGCAAGCGTAAAGGTGAGAGTTCTCGTGGTGCTGAGAAGAAAAAGAGACACCTATTTCAGATTTTCTATGTATTATTTTCGCATTTTCGACTTATGACCAGGTCGTCGGTCTCTAACCCCGTCGTAAGTCGAGAACTGATTGTACTAGGTAACTATCGTTCACTGTAAATGACCCACAAAAATGCATGATTATTATTACATATCCAGAACTTATGATTACTTACACTATTCCAGTATCTATTGCATTTACCAGTAAGTGCACAAATTCTTATGTTTTTCCACTAAAAACCACTTGCAATACATGTTTGATGAATTGTACTATTTTTCCTCCATAAATTTTCTTGTAAATATGGTTTGTGTCTTATCGGATACAAATTAAAAAAAATGGTGGTTTGATCATGAAGTTCCATTTTATAGTTAAAGTCTTTCCATCAGAAACAATGTACTGTATCAACACAGTGAACAATGGCAATGATGATAAAGTAAAAAAAAAATTCTGCATACTGCATTTGATCAGCAGTTATAGTTGAGAAGTGAAATTATTATTTTAAGGATGAGTGACTCAGGGAATTTTGAAGGGGATTACTATAATTTTCTCATCAAAAATAATAGTACTGTATATATGCATTTTTTCTAATACAATACCACTAGTTGCAGTAGCGTCTAATTTACCTTCCTTCCTCTTTTTGCCCATAGTATTGTAGGGTACAGTATAACAAAATATTCAGTCAATATAAAATACCCTCGACTGTATACTAAACACACTTGTTGTAATGTGATGAATGCAGTGATCACTTTACTGTATTTAAATTTTTCTGGGCTTAGCTATGTCGGACAATTTTGGAGTTTGACCATGCAATAATAATACCAAATCACACTATATAGAGGGTCTACTGTATTCCATTATACAATTCTGCTTTTCATCACTCAGCAGTAGTACCAAATCTTTTGCTCTTGCCCTTTCAGTCCTGTTTTTATTCACTTCAATTGTCTGTAAATCACCTCCCTGTTGCCTTAAACTTTGGTTCAAACAAAACCAAGATACCCGGGATCCATTTGCACCTCACAAATTTATTCATCATGATAGAATGGGTGTGAGATGTTTGTGACGTGTACTGTATGCATTGTCATACATTATTTGTGCTACAGTATGCCAGACTCAAATTTGCTGCCAAGATCAGGGCATTTACATGAAGAATTTGTACCTTAAACTGCTTTTTTCCCCTTGTAACATCATGGGATTTGCATTTTATGCATTAAAATAGACATCAGTAGAGATTGTAAAAAAAAAAAAAAACCATAGTTCCCAAAATTCATTTCATATTAACCAACCATTTTCTTCTGCCTGTAACTTTAAACAAATCATTTTTGAAGATGACATCATTATGTCTACTTACTCATATGCTCGTACAGTTTCTCGAGTGGATGGATCAGTTTCACCCTTGGTACCATACCAGTCATTCTTGCCTGATGCAGAATTAACAGATGCTGCAGTTACTGTTGGTTTGGAAGCAGCACGATCAGCTAATTTCTTCTCCAAGTCCTTCTGGATTGGCACAGGAATGCGAGGAAAGAGGGTGGAATACCAATCTAGTTTGGATAGCATCTGACGCACAATCTGTCCAATTGTTGTTGTTTGCCCACCTCCTGCCCGCACATCAATTTCCTGAAAAAAAAACAAAATAGAAAATAAAAATAATTTCCAAGTTATATATAATGACAATTTCAATTTCCTAATACATCTACTATTAAAATTTCTAAATAAGCTCTTGGAATGGAGTTGAAGTAGCGCAGCAAGTTTAAAATATCATTTGTAACAAATACTGGAATCATACAGAATTTGTTTCAATGCAGTTTGGATCCTTCAAAGTACCAGAAAATAGTATTAGATCATTCATAACACCTTTATACACTTGCAAGGAAGTATTTAAACAGGTGTTAAATGTAAATACCAAAATCTGATCTCTTGAATAACCAAATCTATTACAATAATTTTAAATGGGCAGAGTTGCTGTGCTTGGTTGCACAGGATATGTCTCAGAGGAAAAAATATTCACAAACAAGCATGCATAATGCTTGTATAAACTGATGTAATCCAATTTCTATCTGAAATTTGAGCCATTAGAGAAAGTGAATTCTTCTCCATTCCCAGAGGCAAAATTAATATGGATGTTCAGCCTACCCTCTTTCTGCTTTGTCTGTGTCCTGACGTTATAATCCTTTCGATTAAGTAGACAATAAACTACCAAATCAAATGCCAAGAAAATTTAAATCTGGCAAGATTATCTTGATTCTATAATAATTTTAACAATTGAAATTGAAATTAAACCATGATCTTTCAAGCAATCTTTACAATCTTAAACATATATATACAGTATACTGTATAAATAAATAAATGAGCATTACTGTAAGTAACTCCTTAAAACAAATCAAAGGTATACAGAGAATATACATATAAAACTTGAAAGAGCATGACTTGACAACTCACTGCTCTGGGAGGGTTTTCTGATTACAGACCCCAAGGGCATTATACTGAATGGAAAACACAGCACAGGCAGGGATGACTTATTATACATTAATTATCACTGAGGACATCAATGAACAACTAGTAAAACTTATTGAACAAAACAGTTATCGGTCTTATAAAGTAATAAAAAACAGGATAAAGTTTGATTTTTAGCATCCATGATTTTTTACCCATAATAAAGAATGTTATAATGATATAAAATCTTCTTTAAAGGGGCATCATGAGGTAGCAGCCTCCCTGCATGTACCAATGTCTCTAAACAGCTAACATGATGAAGTCTCGGGTAGAAACCTGTGGTGCTCAAACCCAGAGGTCACCTGGCGTTCAGGAGGCAGCGGCTCACCACTTAGCCTGGGGAGAACAGCACGGTTAATCCCTATACCCAAATGTTTCCTGCCTACCTAGCGCACTCTTCTCAAAACTCATCAAAATCCAACTTTTAACTAGACTGCTCAATCTCACATTATTTTAAGAATACAGTACAGTACTCATGCTTCTGATATTACAGTACTATTGATGGGTTTAGCTACCCTCCACACAAATCATGTGTCTGATAAGTGTTCTTCACACAAAATTAAATGTTCTCCTAACTATAACATATGTCATACAGTTTTCCACTGAAAAAAGTAGAAACCTTTTGTGTGTTAGGTGTTTGATAGTCAGGGACCATAACCAACCCAGTGCATGCCACAGTAAGAAATAATCTTCTAAATATGACTCAATGAGGGATCAAATTAAGGTCCCAGTCAATGAAGCCAGCTATCCCAGCTTGATTAAACTCTGAGGTCAAGGATAATGATGCACTGTAGTGTATTTACAACCCATACAACCTGGGAGAGAATCCAGTAATAAGCAGGGTTTAGAAGGCTTTAATTCCTATTGAATACAGTGCCAAACACTTGTTTCAGGGTCCTGTACTAAGCATATCCTTCTCACTTTGGAGGAGGCCACTTTTTTAAAAGAGAAAACTGTATAAGCAGATGTTAGGATTATGAGTCAATCTGTTTTCTTTATTCTTTTCCTTTAAAGATATTAATTTTGAGTGGTACTCATGCATGTAATTAAATATTTCAAAATTACTGGACCAAGACCAAATATTTTGTAAACTATTTCACCAAAAAGTGCATTGTTACCCATCTTTTCAATATCAGGCTAAACTGATTACCATGACACAAACACCATGTAGGAAAACCCTCCCAACATGCACAAACCGAACAGAAACAAAGGTTGATATTTACTCACCGTAAAGTGTGTGGATGCCGTTCCACTGCCAGACCATCACCAGTTAGAATAGGAGAGGAATATAGGATGCAATGGGGTGGTGAAGGACTGGGAAAAATGGTTGAGGATGAAGGAAAAGGGTTATATTATGAAAGGAAAGATCATGAGGGGACAGTAAGATAAGAGCACTAACATATAAAAAATACATACAATCAAGTCTTATATTCCATGGGTGAACAATAATAGTGAAATAATTTCAAACAAAAAGTATTAACTCTAAAATAATGAAAAACTTGGATTTTATCAAAAATTTTAGTAACCAGTTGAATGCAGGGAAATATTTGTTTTTCTCTACTGACAAGTAGAGAAAAACCAATACTTAGTTAGTTATTACCACTTTATTACAAAATTCCAAATACAGTATATACTCTCATATAACTGATCTCATATATACAGTTTGACCCCAAATTTTGGGGGTAAAAAATCCCGAGTTTTTCATATATCTCTTGTACAGTTTGACCCTAGCTTTTGAGAAATACTAGGTATAATCCTTGACATAATTTGTAGGGAGACTCCAGATTTACACTAATGTGTCTTGGCCATGACCACTACCACAACAGCTGATGTTATGAACAGTTACCAACTCCAATGAGGAATAAGATAAAATAATATATACCCCAGTACCAATAAATGTGAGGAGTACTGCAAATCAAAAAAATACTGTACCATTTAAAAAAAGAAATAAAAATAAAAAATAAAAGTTTTGCCATTTGGCTACTAGACCCCTCCCCCTGTTCAACGTAAACTCTTAACACACGAAGAAAGATTATTCCTTTTATGTTTTTGACTTTCTGATGATTTTTTTTCACATTCTGTATTTAAGATTGAGAGTGCATGTACATTAACAGCACAAAAAAGAAAGAAAATTACGTTTATCTACCCAAAATTACAAGTTGGGGAAAAAAGAAAAAGAAAAAAAAAAAAAAAAACTCCCTCAGCCTGCTAACTCTGGCTGGTGCACAAAGAAATGTTCATTTACTTTATGTTTTTGACCTCAAGATTTTTTTTGTGGCATACAGGTAATGACCATTACACGATAGATCTATATACGATCGTTAAGCTATGCGATGGCCAAGATCAGTATCCTTAGGGGAAGGGATGTAAGCTTGGAGGTGAAGAAGGCTCTAAGGTAGGGATGGGAAAACTGTGACCTATAACCATACCATATTTTAATTCAGTGTCTTTTAAAGGGACATGTTGATTTTTTTTTATTGCTTCGATTTTTATCTTTTATTTTTCAATATGTATTTTTACGAAGTTTGAAAAATCGTGCCCAGCCCAAAACACATGGTTAGAGTCCCATCGCTGAGGAACTGCACTTGGAGGAAGTTCCAGGGTAGTTGCCATACCCTTTAAATCTGCAAAGTTTATTATTAGTTTTGAAGAACAGCAGCTCTCATGAGTCCGATGTGGCTCCTCATCCTCAAAAGTTTCCCTGCCCCTGATTGAAGATATAATGTAAACTTTCCTACTTTGGCAAATAGCATTGAGCATAGACCTGCGATGTTCGAGTGATCTAAAACTCAAACTAAAGAAATAATTTAACAGTTGCATTTGGGGTTAACAGAATGGAAGTGGTGAGGAGTAATAAAGTGTATGTGATGTACAGAATGACTGAGGCAGAAAAAGTGAATTGTAATGGTGGAGAGTTGATTTCCGAGATGGTATGGTCATGTAAGGGGGATTAAAGAGGATGGAATAGGTAATCTACAACATGTATTGCATGTAGGGAGATCTGCATAATAAGAGATGGGTGGAACCAGCAATTATAGGGAGAACATAATGGAATTAGCGAGCAATAGATATGTAATGAATGGATGACCTGGACCTCTCGGTCTTCATAGCTTCAGGAAGAGACTTGTCTGGATAAGGCTAAAGGAAGAAGACATGTGGAAGCTTGACAGAGTATAGATAATGCAATATATGTACTGTACAGTAAAATTTTGACAGAGAATGAGGACCGGTTAATTTAATTAAAAGCAGAAATTCTTCCAAACCCAAAAGAACTATTTCTTCTATGTAGAAATGTAGGCCTTGCAGCAATCTTCACAGTGATTCTTCAACCTAATTTTTCCAGAAACAGCAACTCTAACAGAATCCTTCGTTCTTAATTGGAATTAGGGTTTAACTAGTAACTATCTATTTGATACCTCAATGCCATAGAAATTTTCATCAAAATTTAAAGGCTAGTACCCAATTAAATTATTTTCTAGAGAGCTGTTTTCTATCAATGGCCTATTATATATGTGAGTGTATACTGTACAGTACACACTGCCCAAGTCAATTTAAGAGAGGTTATCCTAAGGCAGTGTATGAATATCAGTAATAAAAATGTCATAATAAAGGTTCTGCATCTGTTTATAAAGTGGTAAATAACCATGTTTTACAGTACAGCATTCCCTGCATCAAGCAAACAAAGAAACAAAATGCACTAATTTATATCACCTCATGAATTGAAAAAATCTTTAGCTAAATGGCATTATTCACCCATGGAAGCAATACTATCAGAGAACTAATACCAAGTCCACTTTTCTCACTAATAAATTCTTTTCTGTAGAGAATTCTCAATACAACTTGATGGTCTGCCACAAATTAACCAAATGCAGTAATACCTGGTTTTCCAAATTTCACTTAAGTTCATGTTATTCTAAAATACGACAAAAATCTTTATAATTTTTCCATTTTTCATTTGGTTCATCTTTGTTTTTACTTTCTTAAACTCAAATTAATTTACAATTTTTACTCTTCCTTTGTAAAGACACTTCCAGAGGCAACACAAGTGATTTTTCATGCTGAAGTTTTAAGTACACTATTATCAAACCACCATGTACAAATCTTAACAAATACTTGAAGTGAAGTTGTTTAGTCTCTAACTTTAAAATTATACAGTCGATACCTGAAACGTTTGGGGATAATTCAGCATGTGCTCCCTTGTTTTGAATGCCATGAAGGATGTACATGATGTGAATAATATGAAAAAAAAAATTCATTACATCAGAAAATGGCATGTAGAAGGAGCAGGTAAGTTACAGGAAGAGAGGGATAGGGATAAGGAGGAGGAGGAGGAGGAGTGGGAGGAGTGGGGACTGGTGATGGCGACGACACTTACCTCCTCATCATCCATGTAAGACTCAAACCAGTCCCAAAGATCTGCAGGTGGCTGTGTATACCTAGTTAGGGACAAGTTTTTTGTTAAGTTTTGCAAATCATAATGCCATCTACAATAAAATTAATGAAACCTTAAAACAAACATATGTCTACAGTTGATTTTACATACTGTTAAGCAGGGTCACATTCAATGTACATTTATCTAACATGGATTTGATTATAAAAGGTTAAATAAATAAGACTAATTATTTGTCAAATGCTGATAAATATGATTACAGTATATGTGGGTTAGCTCCTCTACTCCATGGTACCAGCTGAATGCCAGCCCTGGCTAGTGACTCAATTTGTTTACAATGCTGAGGAAGGCGAGGAATTGCTTGACTTTTGTTATTTTTCTAATTTTTTTTACTTTTTTTGATTTGTACCCTTAACTACATGATACCACTTAACTGTAATCAGTCTCCTAGTGGTGGTACAGTAAAGAAAAACTATGATAAAGACATTGGCTGAAAATCTAATGAGTCAACTTCCCTTAACCCTATTTTTCCTGTAAGAATTTAAGTTTTCCCAAAATGGATTTGTCCAACACATTATTATTCAAGAATGTAACTCTCAAATCTTAATATCTTTTGTACTAACATTTTCTTGACATACTGTAACATGACAAGAAAAAGGAGCAAAAATAAACTCTCCCTTTATTTAATGAATCATTCACTTATACTGTACTGCTACTGATAAAAAAAGATCTTGAATTCATAACCTATGTACATAAACGAAGCAACGGACAGTACCGGTATAGCAGGGCAAGGTAAAGTTAGGTAAGTTTTGTATATACAGTACAATATTATCATCAATAAACATTCCCAAATATTAAGTGTTCACAATATAAATCAATACATTATTCATTATGCGACTGGGTACAGTAGGGTCTCAAAATACGTGAGGATTACGTTCCAAGAGCCTCGCATAAGAGCAAATTTCGAGTATCCCCCCCCCCCCCTGTACATATATGTAAAGCCCATTTTCTATAGCTACTTAAGTAACCTACCCAAGGTAACAACTGTGTTAACTCCCACAAACCATGTACAGCATAGAAACAGCTTAAATTGTCAATTTATGCACAAAAATATTATAAATACAAATTTTATAAAAGAAAAATCAAAATGGCTTTGTGTACAGTACAGGGGGTCCCCTGGTTATGAACGGGATCCGTTCCTGAGAACGTTCTTAAGTTGGATTTGTATGTAAGTCGGAACACATGCTATGTGTATACTGTACTGTACTTACAGCACAACATTTAAAATCCCACTACAGTATATAATAACCTAAGTCTTTATATACATCTAAAATAACTTAATTTAAGACAAACTAAGAAATAGAATGACAAGATACAGTAAGTCCTCGCTTAACGTCGTCCCGCTTAATGTTGTTTTGGTACTACGTCGCTGAACTTTAGAGACCAAAAATTCGTTAAACGTCCCGGTGATCCAATACGACATTGTCTTGCGTTGTCATGGACTACTTTCTATGGCGCATCACTCGCTCTTGTCTGGCCGCGCTACGCTTTCTCGGCTCGGCACGCTGCCCTCACTCGTGGAACGTCACAGCGTCCCCAAGCCAGTCTCTGTTACGACTTCACATCATACGTGTATGCTTAAGTGCCTTTGCTCTAAAACTGTACTCAAATGATTTGAAATGGCTTCCAAGCCCCCATCAAGTGCTACTGATGCTAGTGTAGTGAAGAGGTAACGTAAGACCATTACTCTTGCTGCGAAAATGGATGTATTAACCCGATTTGAAAAAGGGGAACGTGCTGTGGACATAGACCGTTGTGCTTGGTTTAACCCCCACAACGGTGTGTACTATACGGACCAATGCTGACAAGATTAAGGTTAGTGCTGGAAGTGGTTCTTCTCTGAGTGCTACTAAGACAACTTGTACTAGAAGCACTGTGATAGAAAAGGTGGAAAAGATGCTGGCAATGTGGATGGAGGACCAGAATCAACGCAATGCCCCTGTGTGCCTTATGGTTATCCAGCATTAAGGCCAGATCCTTGTTTGGCAACTTAAAGGAAGAAGAGGGTGAAGGATTGAAGGAAGAGACCTTTACGGCCAGCCGAGGCTGGTTTCAACAATTTAAGCGTCGGTATAACTTTCACAACATAAAGATGACTGGTGAAGCTGCCAGTTCAGATAAGGTTGCTGTCGAGACATTCCCGCCAACAACGGAGGAGGAACCCCAGTCAGAGCAGGAGGAGGAGGAAGCAGCCACAGAGTTTCAGTGACTCACCACCTTCCTCCTCTCCCGCCCTTCTCCACTCCCACCCTCCTCCTCTGCTATCCTTCTCCTTCACTCCACTACCCACCACACACTCACTCTACCACCTCCGCCCATCAGTGAGTACCAATATAAACTTAGTACTGTAGTTCTATATACTATTTTCTATAGACTTTAAACGCCCGGAAGGCGCTTATAGCCAAACGTGATCAGGCCTTTGATGAGGATAGCTACAGTGCCAGTCCCTGCCCGGCGTTGCATGCTCAGCCCTGGCTGGCCAAATTTGCTGGGTCAGGCGTCTATACACAAATAAGCTCCCCTTACTACCACCCAACACCTCAACCTCCTCTGGGTCTCTCCACCTCCAACATCTCAATACTCTATATAGTATATACTGTATGCGGGCAGGCACACCCAATAAACATGACATGACTTACAGCCTAACATAATGTTTGTTTATGTGTCATTCTCCTCATTACTGCTTGCGGTAACACCTATGTATCTAAATAAACAAGCAAAATCATCATTATCTGACTGCAGTCTTACCTTATGTACATAAACCCTAGGCCTCGGATGTATGGAGAATCACCATGGTTTAGTAGCCCAGTAACTTGTTTGCGTGTTAAACGAAGGGTGTACAGTTTATACAAAATGCAAAAGGCCGTCGACACAATGCCTCCTGCCCCAACTCCTCGTACCTGCAAGAAATAATTCATAATATTGAAAGAATAACTTTGGCTATATCAAAAGTCCAACAATTATCATCGCAATACTTTTATTGCTTTAGTGTGATCAACAACTGACTGAAAAACTAAATAAATAGAAATTGACTTCTCAACTGAACTGCTCTGTTCCAGTCACGTGGGTCTTAAAACCTTTTTCTTTGTCTTAGTCTCCTGTGCCAAGGTCTCGGGGCTGTATTCATGGTTGTTACATCACCTGACTGATCAGGAGCACCGTTGTGTGGTTATTTAGAGAGGCCACAGACCCAAAGGTAGTCCTGGTGAATTGGGTTTCCTATAGCAGTCCCGATGAATTTAAAAAAAAAAAAATCTTTCACCCTCCAAATATTGATATATTGAGATAGAAAATATTCAAAACTGATAGGAAATGAATTTGTTGGTGACAAAGTCTTGTTTCCATATACAGTGACCCCTCGCTTAACGAACACCTCGGTTAACGAACTGCCTTCCATAAGGATCTTCAATTCGGTTAACGAAAAAAAATTCGATTAACGAAGTGCTTACGAACCGATCTCAACATGTTTTCGCTTGCACTGACCGGGCAACCAGCTTTAGTATCAGTCCGCCAATACATTAATCGGTTCTAGGGCTTAAATTCCTTACTATTTTAGTAAATATCAAGAAGTTTATACTATTCAATAATTTTAAAAGTTTAATATTCAATTTTTAGTCATTTTAACAATTATTGAACATAATTGAAGGTAAAGTGACTAGTTTAATGCGCGGCATCCAGCCTCTTAACACAGCAAACAGGAGTTAGTCTCTCTCTGTTTTCACTGGAGGTAACATCTTGCTTGAGACTCTCTTCAACTAAACGCTTTTTTCTGTGTTTCCAAGCAAATTATTGGTCATTTTGAAATATATTTTACATATTGACAATATATAATGCAGTGCAGTGTTGATTTAAAGAAAATAATCTTGAATTACACCAAGAGAGCTAAAATTTTATGGGTGAAATGGCTCCATGGGGTGACTTCTCTTCCACCCCAATGCCTTCTCTTCTTCCTTCTCCTCCACCCCCATTCTAAATCTCATCATCATCATCATCCAGGAGCCTTCTACATACACACCTCAAAGTAAGTGAACTTTTCTACCATTTTTGTTGAATTTAGGAAATTTTCGGTGAGCTGGAACCAATTACCCAAAAACCCATTGAAACAATGGTTTCGGTTAACGAACTTTTCGGTTAACGAACGACCTTCTGGAACGGATTGAGTTCGTTAACAGAGGGGTCACTGTACTGTACATTCAATGATTGTCAGTTACTGTATTTACAAGTGTTAAATATTCCCGGCTGTTCATGAGCATGCAGCTGTGCATCAACAAACAAAAGCATTTCTCTTCTTATCACAGCTCCAGGGGTCAGATGTCTTGTCTTGTATAATATTTCCTTTCTCTTGAATGAGGCTACATAGAACATTATGCTGTTTAAAAGACAGTGACATGCTACGTTCATGACTATCCATATCTCCTGCGCTGTTGTGACAGCTGACTGACAGCATGCCAAACAAACCTCATAAACACCAGAGACCAATAAATTCTAAATCCCGGAGATATCCTCTTAACACTTTTCATGTTCGTTTGATTATATGATGTGAATATTTTTAATGTTGGTTACATTCTTTTTGTGTTCGAGGAAATATTATTGGGGTACTCAATGCCTGGGATGTCGAAACAGTAGGCTACCATAGTGCCCAATGCACATTCTTGAATAACCTCTCCCTACACGAGCTTCGGGTTCCCGATGGTCGCGCTTACCGTCGGACATGACGATTGTGAATACAGCCCTCAGTCTCAGACACATATGGCCTTGGGGATTACAAAACAGTTACAGCAGAAGAAAATTTCAAGACAGCTTATTTCTATCTACAAAACTCACCTATTTGAATAGGAACATGCTCTGGATTTGATATAACAAGAGAAAGTGAGACTTGCTGAACATAAAATTCTAAATGTAACATGTTATGAAAATACTTACACCACCACACATGCCAGTTTGGCCTGAGGTTTTGCGACTTCCCTTCTCCCATGGCTCTAGGTGAGTCACATTGTAGTATATTTCATCAATCACTTCATGGTAGGTTTTCAGCTGGTAAAGGTTTACTGTGAAGAAATTATAACAATAACAAAAAATAAGAATAAAATACTGTAAACATATTACATAGCTAATCATTAGCACAGAATAACTTAATTTGGTGTTTTTCCCCAACACTCATCTCTGGTCTTAATTTCCATACTTTCCATACCCTTATTTTTTTAAGTCCCCTTACTACTTTTCTGCTGTTCCGTTTGCCCTATTCACCTTACCATACTTTATGTTTATTTTTTCTAAATAAGTTGTTAAAGAATTAATGTTTTAATGTGTTGACAATCTTTTAATAAGCATTTCTGATTTTTCAGGAAACTTGGTTCTTGTGACACATTTGTGGCATTCATAGTTTTTTATATGGTACAATAATTTGCAGCCTAGTATCAGGCTAAACTTGCAAGAGACAGAAGTGTGTGGAAATCTGCAAAAAAGGTGAAAATACTGTACTACTGTTCAGTATACTGTACCATAACTGATGCCTATCTCAATTTTTTTTTTTAATTTAAGCACACTGAAATGTAAATTTCACACTACTTACCATCACGGAACATATCAAATCATTATCATCATCAGCAACATCATCAAAGATAAGTAAAAAAAAAAAAAAAAACCCCAGACTATTTCTATAAATTAAATATTACTTATTGGTACAGGACAGTGTTTGTTGTACTGTATTCATTTATCATCTCCCCCCCCCCCATGTTGCACCAGGAACCTAACCCCTGTAGCCCCATTGAACTAAGGTTTACGCATAAATTTCGAAAAATTAACCCAAGCAAATATCAAGTGCCTACTGTAGTGTGTGTGAGTAAGAGCCAAGACTTACTGTTTATACTGGTGTATGAGACGACCTTTGAAGCTTAAAAATAAATAAATATAAAATCCCAAAAACTAGGGTCTGTCTTAAGACACCAAGTACAAAACTATAAAATGTGAACCCTAAATCATATATATACAGTACAGTAGGTTGTCATCATGGGTGACGGAAATAGAGGAAAATTTTTTATTTTATTAAGTAAATACTGTACTACATGACAGCATCCAGAGCGATTGTCACTCACAGTTTACATAAAATACCAAAATATTAAACCAGGTTATAATATCATTAATGAATCGTATGACATAGCCAATTTCGTTAATACTGTACTGTGGATACACATTGTTCTCTCCTTATGAGACATACTTTTTAGACATTTTAGATGAGAAATGTCAAGGAAAATGTCTGCATGTGGTAGTGGCCTGAAGCAGTTAAGCAACTTGTGAGGACTGAACATATGGTCATATGTGTATGTGTCTGAGTGGCACTGGTGGGCTGTAGAAATGTACAAATCTCTTGGTTCTCTTGAAGCAAGTTTTCATTGTAACAACATAGTGCAGAGTAACATCTAACTACTGCAGGTAAAAGAAATAAACAGCTGATAATGACAATTTTGAGGCTGTAGATGTTAGCAGACACTTGCATCTAGCAGGCAGCAGCCAAAAAAACTGGTGCAGCACCACTTCCACCATCATATCACTCATCACCACCTTCATAATTATAAACTGTCTTTTTATTACAAAATTATCATTCAGCTGTTATTGTACAGACAAGAAAAAATGGTTGATTAGTAATGCATTTTTTCACCCATATCCTAATGAAACATGCTGAGTACATGTACTTAAAGACTGCACTGTAATTAAAGGAACTAAAATATAAAGGAAGTAGGGGCTTAAGATTGATGTAAAAGCTGTTGTGAGGTACCATAAAATAACTGACACCTCAGTAATGTCATTGGGGTAGTCACTAGTGTTTACAATACAGCAACATTATCACATTGGCTGCAGATTTCAGCAGATAATGGACAAAATCTTGCCAACACGTTTGGGTTGCATTGGTCACCCATGATGATAACCTACACCATATGACTAAGGTTCACATTTCACAGTCACCTACAGTAATATGGAAAGTTTACCATAAATACAAATTTTAAGTTTTGGCCTGTCTTATATGCCAAGTCACCTTATATGCCAGTGCAGTATATACTGTATGGTAATATTTATGAATTTATCACCGAAATGTTGTTATACAAAACTGTAAATGAGGTACCTGGAAAGTAAGATCTTTAGTTAAGATCTGATTAGAAAAAAGTGCTTGTTTTTACAGTACTGTACATATTAATAAGCATAAAACATGCTGTTAAAATATTGTTAATGTTCCCTTTAACTTACCTTTGAAATACTGTGATGACTGAATGTTTGTCAAGATAAGAGGGTTGAGATTCATAGTCTTTTCATTACCCCATATTGGTAATCCATTTGGCTTCTTAGACACACCCTGTGCCTTCTCTCCATCTTCATCATACTCATACGCTCCAGCCTGAAAAAAAGAAAAATATATATATACAGTATACAGGTTTGCCTTGCTATTCACAACTCTGCTTATTTGCAATTGATATCTTAACACCCATATTCAATGCAGTATTTGCAAAGAAACTTAGAAAAAATAATATCTCTGGAGATTGGAGATGGCATATTGCTATAAAATAAGAAAAACTAATATCATGGTGTATGTGTGGACATGGCATGTCACCAAGTTAGACTGACCCTGTAGCTACATCACCCTACCAAGTCAAGCAGTTTTACTGTTATTTTTCAACTCATAATTTTGGATAGATATTTTTTTTTACTGTGACATGCACACAAAATCATTCATACAGAATGTGCCCCCCCCCCCAAAAAAATAAATAAAAGAAATAATTATCATAAAGTCCAAAAAATTTAATAAACATTTCTTACATCCGCGGGAGTTAGTGCATGGATCATGGGAGGGAGAGGGGGGGTGGGATGGTAAGGGGTGCGTCGTCAGGGTCTCATCCTCCACCCACTTGGCCAAGCTGGGAGCCAAGCTGCTATTATTTTTCAACTCGTAATTTCAGGTCGATACAATACTGTAATACCTGTATGTTTTTTTTTTTTTACTTTTACATGCACACACAATTATTTTTATAAAACGAGTCAAAAAGGTGAAAAAAATTACTAACATAAAGGGAATAAACATTTATTACATGCAAGGGAGTTAGCGTGTGGATTACAGGAGGATGAGGGAGCAGACTCGGGAATCTCTGCCGCTCCAGTCTCCTGTGCCCCATGTGTAGGGAAACTAAGGTACCATATTGCCAACTAGTGATATAGCATTTTTTTTCTTTTATTTGATTGATTGATTGATTGCAGAATTACATCCCTGGCGATGTACCACCTTCGGTCATATGCCGCCAAATTAAACTAAAAGCCTAGAAGGCTAAAAACAAATAATGAAAGGTAAAAAAAAATTATATTAATAAAAAGCATAGAACTTTCATAAAAACATTTACATATTAATAGATAAAACTCCCCCAGCACCAAGGAGAGATGGTAACCCCCCCCCCCCTCCAGCACTTGGAAGGGTGCTTACAGCAAAGATCTTTAAGACTGGGGCACTCCACCAGGACCGGGCAGTCATCACAATGGGGAGAGGGCCACAAGTCAGCCACATGTGACCAAAGCAGTCTCCTACCAGCATGACAGTCCCTGATATCCCCAAGCACCCAAAGCAGGGTGGATTTCTCCTTGTAAACACAGGAGGAAAATAGTTTATTTAATGCCTCCACCTTGTCCTGATCTGAGTCCAAATACTGTACTGTAGTTACAGTTTTCTAGTCTCAGATCTAATCCACCCATACATGTCTAATTTAGATTTTGCACAACAGTAGAAAGCCTTATGGTTTGGCTTGGCCTTGACTGCAATCTATTTGTCAAGACCTTGCATATTTATAAAATATAAATACAGTTAAAGAAAAAATCAGAGATACACCAAAAGTTCAGGAAGTGGCAATAAAATAAGAAATACTGTATTGTATTGTACGTACCAGTATTTTGGGGTAACAAAATATTTTGGTAATAGCACTTGACAGCAGCAGCATTCATTAACCAGAAACTCCAGAAAAATTTTCAACAGAAAATATATCCTTTTTTACCGCACGAAAATCCCATAAAAATATTTTATGATGGATTTGCAATTATGTATATCCATTATGAACACTAATCTACATCAACATGCTATGACACCACATTCCAAAAACTAACCGCCTCCTGCTATATTATACGATTTATTGGATATAGGACGAACTAACCTTACTGTATCTATTCCAGGTTAGTTTAGGCAGATTAGGTTAGATAATGGGTATGTAAGCCTGGTTAATTTTATCTCCAATAAATAATATAATGTAGCAGTACAGTAGGTGGTAAGTTGTTTCTGTGTGGAAGAGTTCATGTGTATGAACCTCTGCTCAGGAGAAAAATGCCATAATAACACAGTACAGGTAGTCCTCACTTGACACCATGGATGCATTTTTGGAATCATCAAGTAAACGGATTCAATTTTTCCCATTAAAAGGATGAAATAGGCTAGTGACATTTCTCGGCCTTCCTTCGTCCCACAAAATACATTACGTGAAAGTAAATCCAGTGGAACTTTCATAAAAATATATACAAAGTATTATACATATAAAAAAATATTGCATAAACCAAGATTGCCAGGCGGGACACTGCAGTCCCTTTTTTCATTGACTTGTCCCAGAAAGTGTGTCAGGATGCTTAATTTTCCTGTAAGAGTGACTTTGATCATTGTCTTACCTCTATAACCACTCACCCCTGTTCGAGTCAAATGCCTCATATAAAATTTTATTTAATAATTAACAATACAGTAACATTTATTAATTTGTTCAAATTTCTTATCTTACTTTACAAAACGTGATAATTTATTCATTTGTGGTAGGGTGTGGCAGCAGCGGTGAACTATATGTGTATTAAAAAGTTTGCATCTTAAAAGAGACATATACTGAACATGAACCAAAGGTCAAAGAGTATGATTATGGTGGGCCACAGCCAGCCAGGTAAAGTTAGGTAAAGTTGATTAAGAGGTTGAGTGATGTGTTTATATTGGCTAGCTGTTGACAGTGACTACTTTTGTACTGTACCTGATGCTTTATATAAACAATGTCATTAAAAAAGTGGTTGATTTTGTTCACGTAGCATATAAATTTACTGTAAACAATACCGTACCTTCGTGAAAGTTAGACCAGACCCATATAAAACATAAAATAAAATTTTTTTATCTTTATTTAAAATTTTCATTAAATTGTTAATCTCATTATTCTTCAAATAAAAGTTTATTTGTCTTATCTTTCTTAACCCCCTCCATTGATGTCCCATACAGTATATGGAAATCAAGACTCTGGCAACCCTAGTATAAACTAAAGTACGCTGTATACTCTCGATTTAGCAGAAGTATTTTTTTTATTTTTTGCTCGATTTAGTGAACTAATTCGCTAAATCAAGATTAATTCCATTAATACGCTCACACCTACAGAGACACCTGAGACACATGACATACATAGAACCATTAGAAACATTATTCATGGTTTACCTTAAGCTAGGGGGTTTGGTGTTTGTTTAAATTTTTTCTATTATTTCCAAACGTTTTACCAATTGATAGCTGCACTCTTTTGACTTTCTCCCCCACACCACTTTCTTTCTGAGAGACTTTCAGCACGATGTCTAAGCACTGTAGTTAGTTGACCGAGAAGTAGCAGTGAACAACACACACAGTGGTGGCATAACACAGACTGAGTGGATGTAAACAAACCCCACACGCCAAGTGGCGCGATTTGGCACGAAATGTAATGGAATCATGCTCGATTTAGTGAACTATTTCGCTAAATCAAACAAAAACAACGGAAATTTCAATTTAACGGAAAGGGTGGCTCGAATTAGTTTGTTAAATTGAGAAAATACTGTAATACATGTAATGAATTACTGTAGTAAAGTACTGCATTCACCAACGGGCAGGAGGTGAGTCACTGAGACCTGGCAGGTTTTCAGCTGATCAATTGTCTTCATTTTATATTTAGTAGTACAGTACAGGTATCCCTCATTATACAAACGTTCAAGATATGAAAATTAGCTTTCCCAGCTTATACAAATTTGGGTCTTGGGAAAAATTCAAATTACATGCCCTGGGAGTCAGCTGTGTACTGTACTTAGTACTACTTATCAGTAGCTAGGTAGCATTTGGGGGGGGGGAACTGATTTAATGTTTTTTGGGGCATGATACAAGTATACCGGGGTTTTTTGCCATTGGGGAACTGAACCCCATTTTTCCCATACCTGTTCTTTTATTCACTATACCAAAAGGCACTTAAAAATGGTCTTCAGGAACCTAACCCATTCATATAGAAAGGGACAGATACCTGTACTATACGTACCTGTATAATGAAACAAACAGTACAGTATTAAAAATATTCAAGGAGTCAAAAAAATTAAACATCAAATACATACAGCATTTAAAATTCTTACACTAAAGGCAATGAGGATACACTACAGTACCAGTAATAGCATTAACAAAACATTAAAAATAAACTAAATACAGTACTGTACTGTACTGTACAGTATACTGTACAAAAATAAATAAAAAACAATATATTACTGTACTATATTTTAACTTACTTTGAGGTGTGTATATCATATTCCCGGCAACTTTGTTTACATATCAAACAGCTGATTGTAGAGGCAGTCGATGATGACATGCCATATTCTTTACAGAGTGCATTGGTTCTAATGCCTTCTTCATGTTTCATAATAATTTCTGCACTGTATATTATCAATATGTTAACTAAATTTCAGAATGACCAATAATTTTAATGTAAATATGCAAAAATATTCAAGAGACCAACAAACTGGATGTTCACTCCACTGTAAACAAAGTTAAACTGAGAAGCGTTGTTGGGTGATTCGATCAGCTGATGGGCGCACAAAAACTGTTCCCTGTACTGTATACATTATCAATATGTTAACTAAATTTTAGAATGACCAATAATTTTAATATAAAAAATGCCAAAATATTCAAGAGCACAACTTTCTTGATATTTACTCCACTGGAAACGAATGTAAACATAGAACCGATTACTGTATTGGGGGACTAGCCGATCAGCTGATGCGCATAACAAAGCATGTTTCTCGTAAGGCTGTCATTAATTGAAGTTTTGTTCATTAATGGAACTGAAAATCCTTATGGGAGCCAATTCGTTAACCAAAATTTCGTTAATTGAACCGTTCATTAATCGAGGGACCACTGTGCATGTACTGTGAAATAGACGTGGGTTTGAGTGCCAAGTCTGTTGTGTACTGGAAACATTTTTGCAGTGAGGTCTGTATACACTACATGGAAAACCAGGAACCTATTGGTGACCTAAATACAATCGTAGAAATTGGACGAAAAGAAGTGTGGCAAGAGGAAGTTCCAACATGGCCGCTGGATTTTTTACAGCATCAAACGTTGTGCCAGTTGAGAAAAGAGACGCCGACACCCTAGTTCCTCTTTTCCAGAAATTTATCCAGCCAGGTACCACTATCTACAGTGATTGTTGGAAAGCTTACTCGAACTTGGGGTGCTTAGGTTATAGCCAACAAACCGTTAACCACAGCAAAAAAAATTTTACCCTGTTATTGCAGTGCATACTAACACTGTAGAATGCCTGTGGAAGGATATAAAGTCCTGGGTTCTGAGGGCTGGCAACAGGGATCACCACTACAAGCACTACTTCGCTCGCTACCTGTTCTGCCACATTCACCTAGACCACGCCACAATTCTTCATCACTCCCACAACGCTGTGGCTCGCCGTTTCCCGCCATCACAATAACAAATCACTCCGCCACCCGGGCTACATAAGCGCTGATGCAGCCGGTTGCTCTCAAATCCAGAAACAACCTCAAATTACACCATATCATAGTAAGTTCTTTCTGTTCAATATACCGGGGGATCCAGGGGGCAGGAGTTAGTTAAGGTTAGGTATGTTTGTTTGGTTAGGTTGGTGAGGTCTGTTTTTCATACCCACTAAGGTTAGGTTAGGTTTAATTTAGAAATAACCACTTTTTAACACATTTATACAAACTACAACGGTCAAATTTCACTTATGCACCGGTTTTTGTCTAGATATTAAAAATGTGTTCTTTCCGATGTTATTTGACGAGTTTTGGACAAATTTTATATTCATTTTGGCCGGAAATCAATAGTTTTGAAGGTAACCCCCCCCCCCCAACCCATCAATCTCAATGAAAAAAAAAATCTCGAGTAAATCACAAATAAAATACCTACCAACCAAACCTAACCTGACCTAACCTAACACTATTTTTCTGGTGAAACTCTGCAACTGACGTAAAATAATCTCTATCACAATGTCAGCACAGCTCTTTCCACCTGTTCAGCCATATCTGGTTATTCTGGTACTGAAAAGTCAAATCTCCGCTCCCAACGCACCCACACACACTTGCCCTATTATAAGCCTCCTATCGCTATAGCCAATAAGAAACCCCCCCACACCACCCCCTGCACATGCGCTGTAGACACTAAAGAAGCCAACATGGAAGTAAAGAGCACTGCGTGATGGGTGGTCAGACCTTCTCTGCGAGACGTAAACAACAAATGGCGACACTTTTGACTGACCAAACCTAATAATATTGAAAAATTAATATCTCGGTTATCCTTAATTTCCAGCGGAAATGTCATGGAAGAAAAGGGTCTTAGAATTGTCTAAACACTCCAAAAAAACATGTTAATGCCAGCGAGAGAAAGACCAGTGCATAACTGAAATTTCACCACTACATGTGTCCACTATAAAAAAAAGGTTAAATTACAACGTTTTTAAAATCGCTTTACATGAAGTCAGTCGCAGGTCAGTCGTCAATAATTACCATATCCTAACCTAACCTGTCTTAACCTAACCTAGATGCGACTGTGTAAATATCCCAGTAGACACACATCCAGGTATTTTATTTACAAGTAGACAACCAATGAAACTTATGAATTTTGGTTAATATATACAGTAGAAGTCCAAAAATCCGGACTGCTTGGGGATTGGGTCAGTCCGGATTTTCGGATTTTCCGGATTCTCAGGCAGTGCTTTTAAAATTCAAATTTAAGGAGGAATAAAGAAGAGATGAACAGGTACATTTTGATAGTTTATTCATTAGCAAATATAGCATGCTTCATTTATCAAAACGAGCAGTTTTAAAGAAAAAGCTGTGAATTCTAGAATTTTATTCTTTGCCTTTTTTATGTCATAAATTGTAGACTTTCCAATGTCGTATGTTTCCATTAGAACAGTATTGCTCACACCACGTTCAAGTTTCTTAATTATTTCAAGTTTGTTACTCAATTTCAACGTGTTCTTCTTTCTCTTCACACAACGTAGTTTAACTACTTTAGGAGCCATTATTATGGGCTTGTACAGTACTCTGTAAATGGAAAGAGTAGGACTCAAAATTTCATATGTTGTCACAGTTTGATTGCTCGTTTTAAAGTGGCGACCACGTGGTCGCTTGTTGTCGCTGTGCAGCTGTGGCGCTCACGCATGCACACATACACACAAAAGCCCGCTAAAAAAAAAAAGTGAGTTTTCGAAAAGTCCGGATTCTCGGGTGGTCCGGATTTCTGGCATCCGGATTTTTGGACTTTTACTGTAGGACTAAACTGCCAGGGCTGCATAGCGGCAATGCAGCCGTATCATCTCACGTCCAGAAATGCCTCAAATTTCACCATATCATAGTAAGTTCTTTCTGTTTAATATACCAGGGAAGTTAGGTAAGGTTGGGTAGGTTTGTTTGGTTTGGTTGGTTAGGTCTGTTCTTCATAGCCACAAATGTTAAGTAGCGTTTATTTTCAAAACATAATTTTTTTTTTTACATATTCCCACAACTACAGCAGTGTCCACTATAATATAAAAATGAAAATCCAGCATTTTTATAATTTTTTTCAATTAATTTCGCTCACGGGTTAGTCCTATATAATTACCTGAAATTTATTACCAATCAAGTAGTTTAGGTTAGTTTTGGTGCTTTTAGGTTGTTGAGCAATGTGTTTTTTCGATGTTTTTAAAAAATCCATGGTTGTCCACTTGTAAAAAACTAAAAATCGACTCAATTACAGCTCTGTAGATGGGTCCGATTAATTACCCAAATGTATCCAAATGTAGCCGCAATGAAGTCAAATAATGGTCCTACATGAATAAATAGGGTTACCAATCACTTCTCGACTAGTATTTGGTGTCACAAAGTAAAAAAAAATTGGAAAACGTAATTTAATTTGAGTTAATAGATCGAGTGCATGTACCTAACCTAACCTCGACTAGTATTTGGTGTCACGAAGTCACAAAAAATTGGTAAACTTAATTTAATGTGAGTTAATAGATCAAGTGCATGTACCTCACCTAACCTAACACAACAACTCAGATTAAATTAAGTTTACCAATTTTTTGTGACTTTATGACACCAAATAATAATCGAGAAGTGATTCACAGCCCGATTTACGCTTGTACGACCATCATTTGACTTCATTGCGGCTACATTTGGGTACATTTGGGTAATTAGTCGGACCGCTGTAAGACTGCATAAGTTTTCCTTATTCATGTTTTCGGTGTTCAGATGAGGGATTCATAATAAAGTGATTCTTAACATTTTTAAAGGTTAGCAAACGTTTTGCAAAGTTTTCAAAGGTTTCTTTGGTGTAATTTTTAGTATTTTACCCAACATTTCCCCTTTCGATTTCAAAGCCCTGTCCCGTTTAAAGAACAAAGTAATACTGTTGGTAGTTTTATCTCTTAAAATATTAAAAAAAATATATAAATTTCCGAAGGAAATGCCATTGAAAAAAAATGTCTAAGAATAGTCTGAACTATGTGAAAAACGTATTTTTGTGGAAAAATCGAAACCTGGCTACTACCATAAATTGACCTACTTTATGTATGCACATTTGTACAAGACTTATATAAATCATCTGTTCAAGAGAAAATCACGGTGCACATGTTAAAAACAAAATTCTAAATGATACCCCTATGCCAGGGTTTTACCTTGTGGTTTCCACCACATTATACACCTCATTTTCACAAACGTTTTCATGAAAGCTTCTCCAAAAAAATAATGTACCTATTTTCTATCCCTACATTTTTTTTCTAAAATACAGGAAACATTTAGAATAAGAATAATGTCAGAAATATACCCATTATCTTCCCTCGACATCCAGATGGGTTGTCACAGAAACATCACTACGTGGCTGGTAGAATATTTGTAAATTTACCAATATTTGCTATCTTCAGAACACTCACAGACTATTCTTGTATAAACTAAATAAGAAGACCGTACCTTCATATCGTCAGTTCACGTAAAATCTTTACTACAAATTGGTGGTGGACCGTGTACCGTGACCCTCGCCCTCACAACACAGATCACCTTCTACAAGAGTGGCCCAGAAACTCAATGCTGGACTCTGATTGGTCGAGAGTTGTCTCCTTTCCGTTGAACGCACCAAGCTACGGCCAGACCATTATATAAACGGTACCATTAATCCACGTAAAGAATATGTTACTTTATAACTTAATAAATATTGGTATTCTTATGCACAATATTAATCTGGTATGTCAGAAATACAAAACAGTTAAAGTGTAACTTAAGCTGAGCTCTTGATATCGTTTTTCTTGATGTCATCCGTTTATGACGTCATTATTACGTCACTATTCTAACTCCATCGTACTTTTTTACTTTACTTTCATCTTCTTCACCACTGATCGGCTCGTTAGCCGCTTGGGCGATCGGTCACGTCTCTTTTACTCACTGTTGGCAAGTACTGGGCATGTACTGACTCCTGAGTGTACCTGAACCGACTCCAGTGTTGGTGAAGGAGCTCACACTCGGCACTGTCACAACACACTGATTCCTTTCCCTTTTATCCTCTTCACTACAACTAATAATTGTACAGTATATGGTTAGAGCAAGTGCTTGTTTGGAAACTATTTTCTATTTTTCTTTGTACTTTCTCATATAGAGATAAAATTTTTATTTACTTTTGTACAGATTAGACCGTACGCACCAACAACTGATGTTTGTTTTACCTAAAATAAAATAAACATAAAAGCATACTTGTTTTTATAAGGTATTCTAATTTTCAAATGATTCCTGAGTTCTGTCATTCCGTGCAAGGAAGGATTAGAAACAGTATATATATATATATATATATATATATATATATATATATATATATATATATATATATATATATATATATATAACCAAAGTCAATAGACCTTGTTCAAACCTACTACACAATTAACGAAAAAAATTATATTATTAATATACATAACAAGGAATAAAAATGCCCTATCTATATAAAGTTTTCTGTGGCACTATCGTTGTTTTAATCATTCTTTTCTTCAATTTTGGAATTAGTTTATTACTTTACAATACCTGTGGACTATTACATCTGCTATGCACCAGGATCAAGCTGTTGTCAAGGTAAAACTGTGTTTGGTTGGGTCAAGGCCTCAAGGAATTAATGCAGTAAATTTTCTGAGGTCAGATAAACCGGTGCGGATTGTGAGGTCTGGATAGGTTAGATCAAGGACTATAAAGTCTCTAATCCTTGGGTTACATCAGGTCTTATGCTGTAGAGCAGACCATTCACCCAGCTATTCAACTATGGAAAAATATTTTCGTAGATCAGCCTATGCACCAAATTTGGACTGTCGTATCTTCACTGGAAAGCCGATTTGAAGCTGAAACTAAGCCAAATATTGGCCTATATTCTCTTCACCCACTTAAAATGGGAAAGGTTACAAAAGAAGAATTTAAGGGCCACGTTTCAAAGACCATTAAATTGTATGAAATTTAAAATTTAGAAGCTGAGGCAAACACCTGGTTTGAAATTTGGTTTCAAAAGAAGAATCACGATGATGGATTTGAAGATGAACTTGAGGGTTTGCTCACACAATCTGATCTATTTCCTTCTATTAAACAAGCAAATTATTGCACTGACCTCTGTGACAACATGCATAGTGGAGAAATCTTGCAGCACAAGGAGGAGGGTAAAAACCTGGTAAAAAAGAATGAGTTCATTGAACAAAGATTTACGAGAATAAACAAGAACCCATTCAAAAAGTACACTACAGGGTACAATAATTGATAAATTTGAACAAGATCCAAGGCACTTACAGTTTTTATTCCACAATAGCTCTTGGGAAGAATAAGAAACAAAAATGATGTAAAGAATGTCATGTTCACTTTATGGTTTCCTATTTTTCTATAGCAATTTGTTCCATTATTTTGTATGTACTGTACTAATTCCAAGTCTCCAAGTTCCAACCCTGCTGTATAAATATTGACATATGCAATCCACAAATACAGTTTACAAAATACTGTACAGTACAGTAGTGTAGAGTTTATTGAGGGCTATTATACTTGTGATGTTGTCTATGTATACTAGGGGTAAGTTTTAATATGCAAACTTTTTTTGGTGTTAGTCTGTATAATTGTCTATTCAGCAAAGACGTTTACAATTATCGTACACAATAAAAGATATTGTAAAATATTATTTCATGTAACCCCCTCTTAATGATTTCATTCATATATAGTTGATGTATCATGCTCATTATGCAGTACAGTACAGTACTGTAAAGTAATATTACTGCTATGAGCTAGAAAAAAAATATTAAGTCTACCAAACCTGACTGTGGAAGCCAGTCTTATCCCCCTTCCAAATGTAGGCACAAAATCCCCTCAGACTAAAAACTAAGTCAAAAGCCTACCCAAACCAAACCTAACTTAACCTTGAGAAACATTTATATAAATAATGATGGGATATTGTTGTACTATACTCCACCCCACCTTTGCCCCCCCTCGAGCATTTTCTCCACTCAGTTTTCAGCAATCAATGTCCTTTCATTAGTCCCAGTGACTACCCATCCACAAGATTTTGTACTGTCATTCTCATCAATATATTAGTTTTGTTGGTCGTCCTCACCTTCTAGTTTCCTGTAAACAAGAGGCATTCACCCTTCTACTGTCTGACCTTCTCTGCAAAGTATCAACATTCAAACTTTCAACACCTTGCTTTTACAGTTTCCTTTGGTAGGCATTCATATAGTGTGAAGATGATTTATGTGTACAGTAACAAGTTTACTTTGGATCGTTGCTTGTACTGGCATAATTAGGTAATGTTTGGAGATGGGTATAGTACTGTATAGACTAGTACAAGATGTTTTAAATTGCTCACTACTGAAAACCCAGATACAGTATTGATTTGACTTCATGCTGTAGCTAAAGCATGAGAACATTTTCTCTTTGAATTTACATATTCAGAAAGATTACAATAATTTTACTGTAAGACATAGAAGGGTATGTAAATTTATCTTGCTGTTGTTTCCACTTATAAGTTATTAACAGGAAAATATTTACAACCCTAACTTTCAAAAAAAAAAGCATTGTGTAGAAGAGTGGAATATACAGATCACTCATCTTTCAATGTAAAGGAAAATAAAGTTTGCCAAACATATATACAATAATTTTTTTATTTAGTACTTCAGCATACAGTAATACCTTTTATCTGGTTCCTGCACTGTGCACTTATTTTGAGCAAGTTATTTACTGGATATGTTAGCCAATTGATCACTATTACATTTAGAATTCAATACATATTTGTGCTAAAGTGAATTTAATAGCCAGGCAATCATTGTTGTTATTTTTTACTATTTTCTTCTTAATTGTCATCATTGCTACATATTACTTTTGAAAAAGTAATTCTTTTGCATGTTTCTTGAGATTGGATGTAAAAGCTACACATATTTGTACTCTGCAGCTATATACCTCTCTCTTACCAGTTTTTAAATACTGAAACTCGCTAAAGTGAATTGCTCTTCCTACTTCCTCTACCATGTACAGTATACACATTCTCATAAGCTTACTCATCACATTTTACTTTTGATATATTATGATATTTCACCATATCCCTCTTGTCACTACAAAATCAAAGATGTATGTGACTAAAAGGACTGGAAAATATTTTGCCTGGTTTTCCTGCATTACATGTAGGGATGAGTTCAAATGGGCACAAGAAAAAATTTGAAAGATACTCTAAAAAACATCAGTCTGGCAAAAAGATCCAATATACATGAAAATCTTCTTATTTATTATGAATTTTTCAGAGATAAATTCTAAATACTAGATTTAATAATAAGTAAATATACAGTATACTATACTGTATGTGTTCAAACTGTAAATATGAAAGATTTCTGTAGTTTTGAATTCTTAACTTTGAGTGGAAATGATAAAACCGTTTTGTAAAAATTCAAATTCATGTATAGGCTAGGTAAGATCCTACTTATTTCATTGAATCTATTCATTCAACAAACAAATAACAGAGACTGATATAAAAACTTTTGTAGAGGACTGTTAGTATCTCTCAGTATTGTACTGTTTAGTCTTATAAAACTGTATTACTCCTGGTATACAGTATTTTCTTCTCTCAAAAGTGTCAATTCTGACACTTATATAACCATACACAAACAGTCCCTAACTGGAAGCCATTTTTGAAGTAGGAATAATTTGGTTTAACCATTATTATATATTTGACACATCCTAGTCCCTGATATTTACCACATTTGTTACTGATTATATAAAAATACCTTATGTGCAATAACTAATAAATTTGCAAAATATTAACCATCGCTAAAATCATCTTCAAATAATAATAATTATTTTAAGTTTCTTCTCCAGTTAAATAATAATAAGTCTATTTCATACTAAATAATATTGTGAAATATGAAGCAGCATCTAAAACCTGACATTGAAACTAAACTTTCAATCTTATTAAAAGCCACAAATAATCAAAATAACTACATGAACTAATTAGGCATATATTCCCTTAATCAAATGTCCAACTCATATATTTTTTACCACTGTGGTAAAGAACCTGTGACAGTGAGACAGTATAGTACAGTAGTGTGAGGCCCTCAAGGTCTTACAAATTCTTCACCATTGATGACAACTACCTAACTGACACCCATTCAAGAATAAGTATGAGATTTAGACTTATAAACAGTTTACAATTCTTTACATTTTATTGTTCTTTACACAATATTTCTTTTTTTTTTTAACAAACATGCATCTTGGATACATGCCTCAAATCAAGAATGGGAGGCAACATGGTTAATTTCATGTAAAAATTAGTGAAGGAAATTGAATACTGTACCTTCAAATCATAAATGAGGTATTCATTATATTGCAGAGGACCGAGCTTCAAATTCAGTTGAACTTCCCAAAATACTGACAGATAGATAAGTTCTTCAAAGCATATCTAAACAAATCTAAATCTTTTAAATAGTACTTAACTATTAACAATTCATAGATGTATGCTATGACACCAAGAAATATACATCAAAGTTGACCTTAACCAGATGCTGAATATAACCATCACCTGGCATCCTAGTGCTAGAACAATTATTATGGTACCCTCAATGGATATGTTCAGCAATGGCTTAAAGTTAAAGATCACAGTTATACATACTGGATTACCTATTTTCAACTACATATTGTCAGTATATTGCTACTCATTGAAAAGCTTAATTAAAATATTGTATTATATTTTAATAATTTTATCTGTGATTTTCCACTTGAGGCTAAATATTTATTAACTACTGTAAAATAAAACCTTTAATTTTCCACTAACATAAAATAATTATACTATTCTAACATTAAATAATATGCTGACAGGCAATACATTGTAGGTGGGAGAAATGGATTTATAAAGAGATGGGTTATATTAATTAAGAGTGAGAGTTTTGAGTAATACTATATCATAAAGGAATATGATTTACTGTGTAGAGAGTGATAAATTAATTACAAATTATTATTTTTTTTGTTAAATTTAAGGTTGTGTTAATTATTTAAAAAAGCAGGTAAAATAAATAGGAGGAGGTTGGAGCTCCAGAAGAACAAAGATGAAATAATTAGGAGAAAGGAATGCTAAGTACAAGATATACATTAGCATGCAGTAACACAAGTGTATGGACAAAGTTTGGCATGTGCTGATTTTTTTTTTTTTTTTAGTATGGGACACCATATTTTTATAATCAACAATACACTTGTAGTTACTGATCATTTATACATTATTTTAGGAGGTTAAAAATAAAAAGCACCAAAGAGACAACTTATCCACATTTTATCAATAAATTGTAAGGCTGAGAAGATGTGCAAATGCAGTATTGGTGAGCCATTAAGATAATACAGTCCTATTGGCCATCAAGCAACAAGTATATAACAGACAAATTAAACCTGCAGCTCTCAAAATATAATCCCCTTTATGGAAATTGTGACAATGTGTTGTGTGAGCAAAAACACACAGAAGACAAGACACTTGATATTTTGAGTTTTACTTATAACAATCACAACTCTCTGGAGAGGTTTGATGCTTCCCAAATATTATATGCATAGCTCTTGTTCAAGGTGGCTTGTGAAATTCAATTTGATCTTAATCACATACTTACCCTTGTGGAAATTATTTCCACTTCTCTCTAAAACTTCTGAAAAATCTTAAGCCAGCCACCGAAATGTACCTAGTTTCAATATGGAAAAATATCCTTAAATCAGAATTATTCCATTGATGATATTTTCTCATGGTTAATATTCAAGCATCATCTGCAACTTCTATTATACCCTGCCATTCGTCATCTGTTTCTGGGATGGCGTTTAACCTCCCAGAGTCTCTGACCTCACTGAGTTGGGCTATGAAGGTGCACATAGTTTGCTGGGAATAACCCATATTGGCCATTGCACCATCCTCTCCACCATCCCTCGTCAATCTGTAAAAACAAAGAAATTGTGAACAAAAGTCAGTCAATGACAACACAAAGTATTAATTTCCATGTCATTCACTAAATCAATGTCATCCAGAAACTACACACACCACTCATTCAATGAAGTATAGAGAGGTAATACTAAAATTACTGCTAAGAGTGAATCTCATTTCATTAACCAAATTCTAAAATTTAGTACGAATACGTAGTATGTGATTACAGCTCATTAACTTCACCTTTACTATATCCCTTAGGTCAAATTACTGAACAAGTCACCACTCCGTGTATGCGTGGATTAGCCACAAGTACCTAAAGGCAGCTGTTGTATAAACCCACGATGGGATGACCTCCTGCACATCACTCACTACCACAAACCCATGAAACCAGCCCAGAAAATGCAGCAGGGACCAGGGGATGGGCACAGCTCTGGTGACCTAGTTTCCATCAGGCATGTTGAAGCAAAGTTTTATGGCTAAATGCCCTTCCTAATGCTAACCCACAGAATAGGAATAGCTGGCAAGGCAGGGTCACAACTTCCTGAGGTAATCAATGACTACCATCTACTTACATTTTGTCACAATGAAAATTAATGAGTTGTATCAAATGTACTGTACTGTATATGGACTTCTGAAGGAGATACAGTAAATCAAATTTTCAAAATTGTGTGCTTTTCAAAAGCCTTTAACTCTAGGCATTTCAAATTCCTGATACTCAAGTGTAATGTCTCCCTCAAATTATTTTATTCCTTCCTCTTAAAGCTGGCCTTCTACCAGAACCACCCATCTATTAATCTGGGAACACATATCTATACTGTATATACAGATGAAGAGTGTACTTACCATTTCAATATTGGTTAAGATGTCATCAGGATCAAAAGAAATTTCATCAGTATCGGCTGAAATAAAAGAAATAATGATACTTCTATACTTTGCTGTCAATAAAATAATCACTATGCTCTAAACTCATTTACCTACACCTTCAAAGTCACAGGCAACCATTGAGGAATTGGGATGTGACTCTAATTTAAGAATTTTACATCCAATCAAAACATAAGACATTTTGAGGGGTTATGTTATCAGGGATTAGATCACTAACCCAATCATCTATTGACATAGAAGTAATAGTGAGTGCTTTTTATGAACCCATCCCCAATGTCAAATGTAATGACTTACTATTATAAGAAAAAAGGGATATACAGTACTGTACAGTCAACCCTCGCTTTACGCGGTCCCACTTTACGCGTTTCCACGTTTACGCGGTAGCCTGCCGAAACCGGAATGCTCACTTTCCGCAGTGCGTGTACCCCTTTACGCGGAGAGCAGCTGGCGGTCCTCTCGCGCCGCGCCATTTTTGGATCCAAACCTCCCGCCCTCTCCCGCCATGTTGTGTAAGCGGCGCGAGTAGTTTGCGCAGTGTATGTCTTTGTTGCGTTATCGGTGACGTCATATGACGTAGCAGACTGTGATTGGGCAAAGTATCCTTACCTCCCTCCCTGCTAGCTGTGATTGGTTTAATGTAGTACTATGACGTGCCCCGCTGCGGGAGCGTTCAAGCCCCTCGACCTACCGCGTCAGTTACACCCCTCCAGGCTACACCGTGTATATCGGTATCCATTGTTCCATAAGAATGGCTTCCACCGGACCACCACCACCACCACAAAGAAACCTTGCATTACCTGGACCCAGCCGCCCTAAGCCAAAGAAGACACAACGTTCCTTAAGCTACGAAATTAAATATAAGATCATACAAGAGTTGGAGAAAGGAATAAGACAGGTTGATCTCGCGCGCCAGCATGGTGTTAACGAGTCTACGATCAGAACAATTAAGAAGGATGCAGCCAAGATAAAGGAGCACATGAACATCACAAAGTCTACAGGTGCTTTCTATGATCAAGTATTGCCACAACCAGGTGCTTCTCAAGACATAAAAATTACTTGTGAGCTACTTGGTGTGTCAGGCGCGACGGAACATGGCGGTGGACATGCGCTCAGTTAAGGAGTACGCACGTGAACTGTATGCTGCAGTGTCACGAAAGATGGGAATTACAGAGCCCAAACCCTTTAATACTTCCTCTGGGTGGTTACAGAGGTTTAAGAAGAGAAACAAGATCACCAATATCAACATTGGTGGTGAAGAAGCTAGGGCTGACCGTGTTGCGGCTAGGGAATTTCCTCCGTTTTTACGTGAGATTATGGAGGAAAGACAGTACACCGACGACCAGGTGTTTAACATGGACGAATCTGGTCTTTTTTGGAAAAAGCTACCTTCCAAGACCTTCGTTGTGAAGAATGCCAGCAAGTGTCGGGGTCGGAAGTTGCAGAAGGAGCGTATCACCCTCCTGTTTACCACCATTGCCTCCGATACCTGTAAGCTCAAGTTATCGGTGATCCACACAGCACACAAGCCGCACGCCTACAAGAGAATGGACATGACCAAGCTAAATGTCCACTGGCTGACCGCACGTAAGGCGTGGATGTTCTCTACACTGTCCCTCTCCTGGTTTGATGACTGTTTCGTTCCCGATGTGAAGAAATTCTGTGAGCAACATAATGTGCCATTCAAGATTTTGTTGCTGCTGGACAACGCACCAGGACACTCGCCCCTATTGTTAGATCGTCACCCCAACGTAAAAGTGGTCTTCCTTCCTCCCAACACTACGTCTATATTACAGCCCATGGACCAAGAATTGATCTGTAATGTAAAAGCTGCATTCTCTGCTACAAAATTCCACCTCCTGAACGACTACACCAACACCAAGGAAGAGTTGCGTAACCTGAGTGACACCAACACCGATAGCAAGAGCGAAGACGACGAGAATCAACAGTTGGCAGAGCAAGAAGTACTTTTAAAACAATTCTGGAGAACATTCAACGTCAAGAAAGCTGTGGACTTCTTGGTGGAGGCATGGGATCAGCTGTCTGTAGCAACTGTTCGTCACGCATGGAGACATGTGTTGCAAGGCATTCCGGGTGTTAGGCAGAGTAAATCTGTGACTGGTGAGGTTCAGACTGTTGCAGTAGCAGTGGACCTTGCCAGAGAAGCTGCGCAGAGTGTTACAGTTGCAGGCTTCTCCAAGACCACCAACGACATCCTGGAGGTGATAAGGGATCCTGATGTGACTATCGACGAGATGGTAGATGATGATGACGTCAGTGAAGAGGCAGGTGGTGAGTCATCCCAAGAAGAACGCCGCTTATCCTATAGCAATGTTAGGGGTGCCATCGAGTGTACTGAGAAAGTCAAGCTCCTCCTTTCCGACGACCTTGACGCAAACAGGTATGAAATCTTCACTACCCAGCTGTTGCAGACTATGGAGCCCTACATCAAGGTTTATCACGACAACATAAACACCAGCCGTCAGCAAAGCATAACAGAGTTCTTCGCCCGCAACCCACCACAGCCAGCCCAAGCCAGTGAAAGAGGCAGAGACAGTGATGATGACTTTGAGGGATTTGTCAGGGAGGTACTAGTAAGTGTGGATGACACCGATGAAGACTCACCTGAGGGCCAGTAGCCTGCCCTCTGCCTCGGAACCAGCCTCCATTCCCCTACGCCGACCCATCTCTTCTACTAACGTAAGTGTTAACCCCAACCTTGTTTTTTTCTAACCTAACCTTCAGTTTATTCTTCTCTTATTGACTGTTCCCTTCTATATTATGTGTGGGTGAATACCATCATAAAGTTAAGATGTTATTTTTAGTAAAACGTACGTATTGTGTCGGGAAAAAGTGGAGTTTGGGGGTCGGCCCGGTCTCTATTTCAATTAATCCCATATGTTATGTTGTTCACTTTACGCGTTTCTCACTTTACTCGGGCCGCCGTGGGTTGAATCAACCGCATAAAGTGAGGGTTTCACTGTAGTTCCAACAATGCCTTCTTCAAAGTTTTACACAAATTATGATAAAACACATATAATTTTGATTATTTTGATAAAATGCATGACATTTCCATACAGGCATAATAAAGCAGTCACTCAATTATTCCATATTTCATACAGTATAACTTAGAACCATAACTTCATTACAAAACTGAATCTGCAGCTTACATCAACTAAATGCCCAAGAAATAGAGAAAAGTGGATTGTGGCCAATCATATGAGGTTTTAAATATTACACATATGAGATTAACAAAATCTTCTTATATATGAACAGTTGCCCACAGGTATAGTGTTGCACCCCTCGTTGGCCTTTCCAAACATGTGGCCAACAATATATTTTTTGTATAACATTTGTACTTGAGATTTGTGCTAAGCGTGGTTGGTGAAATGGTATACAGTACTGTACTGTACTGTACAGAGTAAAACCTGTGGCTACCCAGAATCCGCAGATGGGAAATACACGATTGGCGTGAGTCTCCTGTATTAATGCCTATAAAATATTCAGATTCCTCCTCCTGCTCACATAAACAAAGATGAACCAATCTTCCTTCCTTTCCATATGAACCTATCTAACAAATCCTAATGTAACATACTGTACAGGTGTTGACCATTATATAATTGATTGATATACAATTGATCAGCTGTACAATGTTTAAAAATAACATCAAATACTGCTATTCAATGGCTAAGCTCAGACTTACAACAGTCGTTACCTGATGGCTATGAGAATGTTTTTCCCGCATTGTCACTGCCATGAAAAAGTGATGTGCAATAACTTGCAATATTCTGAAGTATGATGTCACAATCTCAAAATGGCATAACACATGTGACCCACACGGGATGCATGGGAGGCTCTGCCAATCCCCAGTAATTGCCAGGCTGAGCAGTTGAACTGTGTCACGTTGCCCAGAGGATGGTTTGCATGTGGAATAAGCTACTGCTTGTACATAAAATACTGTACTGTAATACTGTATATACATGGTACTGTACCAGTAAATATGAGGACTAACAAAATTAATAATAATAAATAAAAGAAAAGAAAAAATACTGTGTTGCCATTTGGCAATTGTTTTCCTCCACACGGGACATGAGATAGGGAGCCTAGACCCCCCCCCCTCCCCCGTGCTGATGTCCACACACGTAAGAAATGTTTATTCACTTTATGTTTTTGACCTTATGATATATTTCTTTGCACAGTCTGTATGAAAGATTGTGTGTGTACCGTATTTAACAGTAATAAATAATAAATAAATAAATAATTTCTTGTCCATCCAAAATTATGAGTTGAAAAATAGCCGCCGAGTGCTAATTCTGGCGTTGAAGGTCTCAGGAATGGAACCCATTTTTCCCCTTAAGTTATTATATTGATAAACTGTATGATCGGTCATTTTGTGAAGGCTTTTCGAAGTCCCTAACCCCATCGTATAACAGTTAACACCTGTACTTCTAACCTAGGATAGTTAAGTTAGGTAGGTTTTGATGGCTTGTCTTATTTACAATAAACCAAAATATAATTTAATAATACTGTACAGTAATAACATTTGCTGTAAGTGTTAGTGTGCCTGACAAGAACAATGGTGACATTACTGTGCTCCCAGGAAACCACCAAACTAATAACTTTATTACACAAATGGCAAATCCTACTATTACAGTACAGTATTACCCCGCTTAACGCGGTCAATAAAACCCACAGGGTACCGTGTTAAGTGAAAACCGCGCTAAGTGAACAACAGAACATATGGGATTAATTCCAATAGAAACTGGCCCGATCCCCAAACTCCACTTTTTCCGACACAATACCTATGTTCTAGTAAAAATAACATCTTAATTTTATGATGGTACATGCACACAATTAATACTTGAGAGAAATAGAGAAATACAGTCGCCAAGTTAATGTCCATTCAAATAACGGACTCCACTCCCTCCCCCTCTTCTCACACTACACTGCTGGCTCTTCCCTCTCTGAGAAATTTTTGGGGGAAAACCACTAAATTTTAATAAATAATACCTCAAACTAATGTTAGGAAGATATAATTGACATTGCTGGATTCCTTGTAAGCCCAGGAATATTTTGAATATAAATGTCATATATTTTGCACAAAAGATAACATATTTACTCAGAGTAAACATTACATCTAAAATTTGTATGTCTAATGCAAAATCTATGATGTTTATATTCAAAATGATCAACAAATTGTAAGAATTCCAGCAATGTAAATTATATTCTGGCCGGGTAATTTGTATGAACTTTATGAGCTAAAACAAATATCTTCAGTTAATAAAAAAAAAAAATTCTTCACGACACTATCTGTCAATCAAAGTACCCCACCTTGCCTCCCCCCCCTCTTCCAACCGCGCGGTCAGTCCCAACCCTCCCCCCACCAATCCTCCCTTCAAGAGATGTTGGGTGAAAAAACTAAATTTTAACATTTTGTATTAAATAATACCTCAGATTAAAGTTAGGATAATATAATTGACATTGCTGGATTCCTTGTAAGACCAGGAATATTTTGAATATAAATGTCATATATTTTGCACAAAAGATAACATATTTACTCAGAGTAAACATTACATCTAAAATTTGTATGTCTAATGCAAAATCTATGATGTATATATTCAAAATGATCATCATATTGTAAGAATTCCAGCAATGTAAATTATATTCTGGCCGGGTAATTTGTATGAATTTTATGAGCTAAAACAGGCAGTCAGGCAGGGTGGCGGGTGGGGCGAATCTAAAAATAGCTCTCGAGCCGGACACTCACCGCGTATACATGGAAAAAACCCGCGTTAAGTGAAAGTTCGGCTCTGGCGAGGCACCGCGTATACGGTAAAACGCGCTAAGCGAAACCACGTTAAGCGGGGTAATACTGTATTTACTTTTCTTTTTTATAGATATTCTTATCATGAAAAGGAATAGCATCATTAATACTGTATCTATGAAATATTCAGACTCTTTCAGCTGACATAAACAAAGATGGCATCCTTGTTCTGTGTGCAGGGTATTTATTTATGAGAAATTTTTGAGAATAACCTGAATATGAAACGTGCAATCCTTACACTTGATTTGACCTATTCTTGAGGTAAGAAATAATTTTTCTTCTATAAATATATTTTGGCAAGCAGCAGGTTGACTTAGACCCTTGCTCTTAACTTTTAGCACATTTTATATACCTGTATTGAAAATTTGCCATCTGAGATGCAGTGCATACATTCTCCACCTGTAGCCACACCAAAAAAATTAACAATGAAGAACTATTTCTCGTCAAGACATACATCATTTACAGTGCTTTTAATTTTTCTTTTATACGCTCCTACTAGCTTCATATGAATACTGTACTAGTTAATAATTTTTACTGACCTGCTTGGTAGTCAAAGAGAGCATATGCAGTTACTCCCATGCATTCTTCCTGTGTCGGTGGTTCTGGCCTATTTTCTGTTCCAGCAGCTGGACTCTAAATACAAAGAGGTAGAGTAGTACAAAAATCACTGAGGGAAATGGAGCAAAATAATCTGTCATGATACTACAGCATTTTGTAATTTGCTTTGTCTCAAATGACTGCATTCATATTCATATGCAAAAGCTACAGAGAATATTAACTGTAATTCTATGAGAAAAGTACAATTTAGTTATTAATACCAAAGAAAAAAATACGAAGCATTACTTTAATCAATTATTTATATTGCGCATGCAACTCTAAAGAAGTTAGTTTAATTTCTAAATAAAAAATGGAAAACCAGATATGCTACAATGTCACAAAAATGGCATTATGCAGATCAATAGAGTAGTATATATATTAGGAGCAATACTATAACAAACAATCACAATTAGCTGGTCAGAATATCCAGATTCAGAAGGAATATTTATATACAGAATTACAATAAGGTATATACATATATATATACATATATATATACATATATATACGTGTATATACGTGTATATATATATATATATATATATATATATATATATATATATATATATATATATATATATATATATATATATATATATATATATATATATATATATATATATATATATATATATATATATATACCCTGGTACATATTTAATTAACATTCTTTGACATTTTTGTTACTCTAAATAAAAAAGTGACTACAGTACAGTACAGTGAAAATACACTCGGCATTACTGAATAGCAAATTTGGGTTTGACTGCTGAGACGAAGTAAAAAAAGGTGTGTACTGTACATAATATAAACATAAACAGTCTTTCTGAATAATGGCCTGACCACTTCCAAACATCTCTGTACAACATGCCCAAGCTTAAAGTGACAATATGCAAGATTTCATTTGCTACTTCCTACATTCTAAAGAACGTAATAACAGCTGCTTGTAAATAGCAATTCGGGATGAAACAAGGATCCAGACTGAATCTGTTGTTCATCTGATCATTAACCATAACGAAGAACACTGACTAATGGTTAAGTGACAATATGAGAAAACACATAGCGAGTATGATGATTTTGTGTAGAATTATTTTTGTTTTTTTATAAAAATAAAATAAAATATAGGGGGAGGAGAAATGTATGAGATTATTTAGCCATTACAGCTTTTCTTACACAAGTGCATCCTCTACAAAGGAATCATCAATAAATATAAGGTGCAGTACAGTAAATACTTCAAACTAAAGCATTTAGTTTCCTGAAGTAATTTTCTGTAAGAAGAATGAGGTGTCATTATAATACAGATTTAAAATGCTCAAAGTCAACAAAGCTCATTATAATTCTTATAATGAGACTCAACAGAAAAACTTATTTCTTATTTTGCAATTAATGAATGTACCTTCACTTTTGCTTAGGTTTGGTGCCGATACTGTACATAAAGATACAGCAGTGCATTGATTACACCATACAACCCCCCCAAAAAAGTAAACGAACACATGATGGTTGTTTTTATATGTATTCAAGGGTGTACAGTAGATTTCGGAAATCGGATCGATTTTGGTGTTTCACCCACCATTTATGGGAAAACAACAATAGTCATATGTGTTGTTGACCACCAATAGCTGCTATCAATATACTGGACAGGTAAACCTCGATAAATAATGTCTCGTTCAGCGATATTCCGCTTTAACGATGGTCATGAATTAAGACCATTTTGCTATATACGATAAAAAAATTTTTTTTTAACAATATCCATCAATATCAATTGGTTGGATTTTTTTTATAATATCTAGTGCAAACTATGGGTTGTTTATACTCAAATTAATCGCTGTCTTGCAAGGATTCCAGCAATGCAAATTATATTTTTCTACATCAAGTCGTTGACATTTTATTAAGAAACAATATTTAACCCTATGCAACACGTGCCGCCACACGGCCAACCCGCAAACTACAGTCCTGCTGTGCTTGGTGCTTTGTTAACCGCATCTCCCCACCATCGCGTAGCTCCATGATCATCATTCAGCATCGTTAGCAAAAGTTTCGGTAAATTACTACTGTACTTGTTTACTGGACAACATAATCTTCGAAAATGATAATACAAATGGCATATTATAGCTGACAAAAATATGCATACTGTACATCCCTACAAGAAAATCTGACGTGATAGAATCAAATAGAGTTCAGATTTGTAATAAGCATGTTCGAATTAGTGAAAATGACCATAATTTTTTTTTTTTTTTCAAAGTTGAATTTTGTTGGGCAGTGTTATCTGTGCCTCCAAACTTCAGAAATCTCTAAATTCCATCTGTTTTAACCGAACTAAACATAACTGAATTTGGCCATCAATCATTTGTTGTCTAAACCAGCTTGGTGATAATGCTTCATGGCATTACTCCACTTTTACTGATTAAAACTGCGCTCCTGTGTTTTCTTTGGCATAAAAAACTGACTGACTGCCACAGTGTTTGTTTACATAAGAAACCATAAGTTGTGGAAATATCATTACAATTCATTAATTTGCCTTGGAAATTAAGAAAATATATTCGTATAGGAGAACCACAGATTCAACTAACTGGTATCAAAATGAAATAATAAAAATAAAAATTCCTGCAAAATCTGCTACAACCGTATGTTTGAATACCATGTGCAAAAGGGATGAGCTCCCATATTTATTCCTGTACTATGATAAACAATAATATTGATACATAGCATATCACATAATACAATAGCAGATATTTAAAAAAAAAAAAAAAAAAATCCTCCCCACTCCAACCATCCTCTGGGCGATGCAACACAAATCATCCAGGCAGTCAACCAGCCAACTCATAGACATGTGGCCACATTACGCTGTGTATGCCACGACGTCACATCAGGAGGAAGTGTGGCCAATCAGTTATGCTCACTGCCTTCACACATACACCCATGCTTTTCTTATTTTAATTTTATATTATATTCTCTTTATTTTAAGCTACCTTAAAGTATTGTAATGGTTTTTCCAAGCTGGGTGGACTTGCTGTGCTCGCCATGTTCCCCCCATCCACAAATTCATGGAACCCCCCCCACCTTATGATATTCCTGGATCCACCCCCGTTTATAGGATCAGATGGTAGTAGGTAATAGGCAGCTACCAAACAGGGAGGTACTACTGCCTGGGATGATATTGAAAGCAAAATGTATTGTCTAATGGTAGACCCTGCTACCATATGGCATCACAAAAATTGTGACCAAGTCCCAGGTTGCTAATCTGTCTTTCTGCCACATTTACACACAATTGCAGGGTCTCAATTGTCTCTCTTACTATTGACAACACAACATATATAACTGAACTCACTCTTGATCTGTTCTATTGTTTTTACTTTTTTATTCTCCCATGTTATAAGTTGACAATAATATTAAAGCGGGGCCTTTTCGGATGGGTCCCACTGGTTGGGAAGGTTGTGGACCCCAGGGTCGACCTGTTCATCATCAAACTACTGAGACCTCAACTTACGTCACCGCGGTTGCCGGATGATCGGCTTTTTTCACACTTCATTTCTCCAACATTCGCGGCCTGAGATCCAATTACCTTCTGTGGAGCACCATCTATTAACCTCTTCCCCCGACCTCTTACTACTAACTGAACTTCAACTGACCAAAGCAGCTTCACCCAAACCTTTTCAAGTCTCCAGCTCCAACCTTTATACCTCTTTCCGTTCTAAGTGAGGTGTATGCACCTACTGCAACACACGTATACCTATAGCTCAACTCACAGATCTTGAATCTTCTCTTTATGATGTCATCTGGCTCAAAATATCTCTACCAACTATGACTATGTTTCTTTGTTTCCTACACTGTTCTCCCAACTCTACCAACCATTTGGAACTCTTTGACTATCTCACTTCTTGCCATGAGTCGTTGCTATCCACACACCTCAACACAGAGATCCTCTACCTAGGGGATTCCAATGTACATCACAGAGAGTGGCTTGACTCAGCATGGGATGATCCAGGTGGAGCTGAGGCACTCTCTTTTTCCCTACTTAATGATCTGGAACAATATTAAACACCCTACACGTGTTCCTGATCGACACGATTAACTTACTAACATTCTTGATCTTTGTTTTACCTCTACCCCTCACACTATTCATACTCAATTTCTGCCCCCTTAGAGTCTGCTCACAATCTTATTTCTATTAAATCAAACAGGGCACGACCGCCTCCCCCACCCCCTCTGAACACCAACTATGGCACTATCGGAGGGCAAACTGGCAATCCTTGCGAGAATTCTTCTCCAACTTTCCTTGGGATGAATGTTCCTTTTCCACTCGGGATGTCTCGATATGTGCTGACATTATTGCTGGGATTATACAGGGTGGTAGGAGTGCATTTATCCCATCTTCTACCAAAACTTTCACTTTACAATCATTGTTTGATCGCTCCTGTTCTCTTGCATGTAGAGAGAGAGATACGGCATAGCAAGTTATGAAACTATCTCCTTCTCCTATTACCCACGCCTCTTTCATTACTTCTAGGAATCGTTGTCCTGTCTAGCTCTTCTTCTCGAAAATCCTTCTGGTCCTTAACTAAAAACATCTGTAAATAACTTCTGCACTCCCTCTTTTCCTCCTCTCTTCTGATCTGATAGCTCTATAGCCAACTCTCCCCTGATAAAGCCAATCTCTTTGGCACCTTATTCTCCTGTAACTCCACCTTAGATGATTCCAACTCCATCCCTCCTACCCCTGCTCCTCCTACTGAATCTATGCACCTTCCTATAATCTCCACTCGTAGGGTTGCTGGTGTGTTATCCAGGTTGGATGTGAGTAAGGCGCATGGACCAGACGGAATACCCCCTCATGTTCTGAAATTCTAGCCCCTGTGCTTGCTCGCCTCTTTTGCCTTTGCCTCAAAACCCAAACTTTTCCTTCTTCTTGGAAGTATGCCTTGGTTCAGCCCATCCCAAAGAAGGGTGACCATTCTAATCCCTTTAACTATTGCCCCATTGCCCTAACTTCATCCCTCTCTAAAATTTTTGAAACTATCTTAAACTCAAATTTTCTCCGTCACCTTGAACACTTTTCTCTTTTGTCGGATCACCAGAAGGCTTTCGCCAGGCAAGATCTACTGGTGATCAGCTCTTCTACTGCACCCATCTTTGGTCATCCTCTCTTAGGGATTATGGGGAACTATCGTTATGGCCCTCGACATCTCCAAAGCATTTGACAGGGTATGGCACAAGTCTTTACTTTCTAAACTTCCCTCTTATGGTTTCTCTCTCCCACTTGTTCTCTAATTTCTAGCTTCCTTGAGAACCGATCTATGGCAGTTGTTGTCGAGGGATCGACCTCTCACTCTTTCTCTACCAATAGTGGTGTCCCACAGGGTTCTGTTCTTTCACCTATTCTCTTCCTTCTTTTTATCACACTATGATGAATTCTGTCCATTCGTATGCTGATGATTCTACTCTTCACTCTTCTTCATATTTTTCCCTTCCCCCTAATTCTCAAACTAGATCTGTTTCTCGAGCTGACATCATTTCATATATCAATGTGGATCTGTGCACCATTTCCAAATGGGGAGGTAGAAACTTGGTTAAATTCAATAGTAATAAAACTCAGTATTTACCAATTACACTTTCCAAATTCGATTATCTCCCACCAATCACATTTCAGGATGCAATCATTCTGCCAAGTTCTAAAATAAATATGCTAGGTCTCACCATTTCCTCTAATATGTAATGGAAGCCACACATCCACATTGCTAAAGCTGCCTCCCGAAAGCTGGGAATGCTGTACAGATGCCGTAGCTACTTCACTCCTGAGCAGTTGCTTCAAGTTTTTAAGGGATTCATTCGTCCTAACTTAGAGTACTGCTCTCATATCTGGGGTGGCTCTTCTTCTGTCCAACTGTTAGATAGGGTGGCATTTTGTCTTATAGACTCTCCTCCTTTAGTTGATAATTTAATCTTTCTTCCCTTTCTCTTCGCCGCAATGTTGCTTCACTCTCTCTCTTTTACAGGTACTTTAACAGGCAATGTTCGGTGGATTTGGCATCCTGTGTACCGCCGGCAAGGCCGTGGGCTCGTAACACTCGTCTTGCCCGCGGTGCCCACCGTTTCTGTGTGGATGTCGGTCACACTAGAATAACCCGTTATAGTACATCCTTCATTCTTCACACAGCCAAACTGTGGAATGCTCTGTCATCTTCTGTGTTTCCATACTCGTACAATCTGTCTCACTTCAAAAGCTGGTTTTCCGGCATCTTCACGATGTGATTAATATAATCCATTTCTTTTCTATTTTTAATTTCTTTTAACTCTCATTTTTCGCCCCTAGGCCCAGTTGTGGGTCGATGACCTGTGCCCAGGTGGGCTCTACCCCATAAAAAAAAATAATAATAATAATAATAATATAGAGCAGAATGCTGCTCACCCCTACAAAACAAAATAATGAAAGAGTAAGGTCTATGGTGCAACTCAGTTGAAGTTCAAGTGAAAATTCTTTATTAAAAGAAACACCACCAAGGTCATTTCTTATACATGATATCTTTGTCATAAAAAAAACAAAGAAAAATCTGAGGCAAGCTAAGCATATGAAGCGGGAGAAAGCATAGTGGTTCCAAACCTCTTGCCCAACAGCCCATTCATAAGTGGCCTACAATTTTTTCCGATCACTGCCACAAGAGGCTACTTGACTTTTGTAGTATTCAACTTTGCTTGCCCTCACTGAACAAACAGCCTTACGCGCAGTCATACAGTACTCTGATCTAATACGGTCTATTCACCACCCGTGCCACTCTCGTTCAGCACTTCTACTATCCCTATGAAGAGGACTTATAGATGAGCTATAGAAAGGAGAGTCACCTTGTACAGTACTGTACAGTAATTCTCTTTTTGACCTATGAACAACAATGGCCTGTAATTAAATAAAAAAATGAAGAAAATTACATATATCCACTGAAAATTATGACTTAAAAGATCACCATAATAACATACACCTCACAGGTGGGGTATGGTTGGAAATATTTCCACTCAGCCCAGGAATTACTGTACTTTATTTGGCGCTCATGTTAAATAGGACTTACGGGAGAGTATCCAAAAAGTTGGAAATCCGTAACCCGGGAGTGTCTGCAGTTGAAATATTTTATTCAATAGTACCTCAACTTGAATAACATTGAGACATACAATTCTCACAAAATAGATGCAGACATCACATGAAAGTCAATTGAGTTTAACATATGTAGTCTTGTACAGGTTGTCTCATAAGTTGCACTCCATAGGATAATTTATGTTCTTTTTTTATTTTTAGGTAAGGTGATCATAACAAATTTAAAAAAATTTCGACAATGAGGGCCAATCAAGAGGCCACTGAGGTCTACGGTCCTCACACCTAACAATTTTTTTTTCTGGGATCCCCTAAAAGCTGTTGTCTACCATGATCATTCAAGAATCATTAGGTGACCCCAGAGGAGAAAATTGTTGAGAAGAGTGAGGTCTGGAGATTTCAGTAGCCATTTGATTGGTCCTTGTTACTCAATCATCGATGGTTTGTATTGAAAAGAAAAAATGAGAACATTAATTTTCTGAGTGTACACTAATTAGTTCATTATAGCCATAATTACCATAACTCATCAAATATTTGAGGAGAAATTTTGCAGGGAAGTACAAGTAAGAAGGTGAGCAAAGACAATGAATTGAAATAGGAAGGGGAATTATTTAAAATTGGAGATATGTAGACTACACTTTAAAGAATACTGTACGTACTGTGAATTTCAGAATGCATGAGAGACCAAGTGGGTCTCAGTGCCAAGGATAAATCAAGTTGAAACAGATTTATCACTGCTCACAAGGCACTTACTATATTTAGCGTCAAGTCAATAAAAAGACATTAATCCAAGTTTTTATAAACTTAATACTGAATAAATATTTATTGATAGATAATTATCATAGGATACAAATCTGTAGATTTAAAATTTAAATTAAGTTTTGTATATGTATGCAACAAAAGCAACTGGATTATATACTGTACAAACAAAAATGTAAAAATGTATTTAAAATAGCAGTAGCATAAACTAATATCAAATAAAAATCTTTATTCCTTACAATGAAAGCAATAGGCAGGCATCTAATAAACACAGAATTTTAGCAAATAATTATTTTTTTTCTTCTATACTCTGTTAGCCAGTCGCAGCATTCACAATAGGATGGCACATGCAAAATCTTCTCAGCACTTTGGCCACTGTACATCACCACACACTCACATGGCCATCCAACATACTATACAGGTACAGGTACAGGTTCATGTTTATCATAAAAAAAAATAAAAATACTGTACATCAGTTAAGCCATATGAAAATTTTAGAAAAAGTGTCAAAAGTAAAATCATCTAATGAGATGCTTCTTATTTTTCCCTGCTTAATTGTTCTATCCCTTAGAAGAAATTCGTTAATAAACTGAAAAACTAATCTACCACACCTGTTGTTTAATGTTAGGTAAAGTTAAAATTATACCTATGTTAAATATTATCAGCCAAAACTAACATGGAAAGCATAGCAAGACAGAACCATATAGTACTAAGGAAATGCTGAGGTAGTATTCAATGCCTGTAGTTTTTTAAAAAAGGATTATGAAACTCAAGAGAAAACTACAGTAGTTGAAAGATACTGCCAAGTTAGTTTTCTTAATGGTACTAGGAAGAATACTGAATTTAAAATGCTCTTGAAACAGAGTTGATTTGAGATTTTTTTTTTTTTTTTATATTTAAGGTCTAAGAATGAAAATAATTACAGGCATGAGGAATGTTGCCATTTATAATGCAATTCCATGACAATGAAATGAACATGAAGAATGAAAGAGTATGATAAGGTGAGATGAATGCTGCTGAGGATCACCTGTGGGTCACCCATAAGGAGCTGCTCTTGCCTGCGTACTTCCGCCTCCAAGCGCTCCTTCTCTGCCCTGGCCGCTGCTTCTTCAGCTGCCTCGCGCTCAGCCTAACGCATATATAATGTCCAAGCAGCCTCAGCATGGGCATACATAGCATTCAAGCATGGCCGGATATTCAAACACAATTATACATCAATCAAACCACTTTCCTTCCAGCTAATGTTATACAGTAATGTGAATTACTTGATAAATTACAGGGTTAACTAACGTCTAAAACACTGTAACTTATCTAGATAATGAGGAGAGAATTTAGAAAGAGTAATACTAACTAATATGACTTGCCATAAGATGAAGCAAGTTGAATTTATGTCATAAAATACATAATTTTGTATACATACAATATTTATGTTAAAGCCAATTATACAGCTTCTATAATGGACAGTGAAATTTTTAACCGATTGAAAACAACAACAAAAATTCTCAAGCAAAATATGTGAAACCAAGGGTGTGCCTATTATGAAAATTACTAGGTATGTACATACCAAGAAGTTATCTGGTAGTCATGAATGGAGTACTGTACTAGAAATTGATGAACACTGTACAAAAGATCTCTTACTAAATACCGTACTAGTGCTGTACTGGATAAAATTAAATTCGGAATATATAAGGAACAATTTATGATCTATGGATCAGTGTGACCAGTGAGAATATTCCCACCATATGCCATCTCTACATTGTTAGGGAAGAACACATAGTGTAATGGCAGGTTACACTGTACACTGTGAGCAAAGAAAGTTTGACTAAGAAGAAACTGCCAAATAATATTACTTCTCACCCATATGATTTAAGATCATTGTATTCCAAGAACCAAAAATTGACTCTGAATCCAATGAGTAGAAAAGGTCAAGTCTGACTCATTACCTCTGGAACCTTCTTTGACTGCAAATATAAGTTCATACTTCTCCCCCCCCCCCAAGACTCCAGACTGACAACAAGACTATGCATCCTGGATAGTCTCCTTTCAATACTGTTAATTGTTTTGTAGAAAGATAATTGTTGAGAATACACTTATTTTTATTGCTGGTAATATTTGGGCTACAACTTACCACACAGTTTCTATTGCAGGTATTTGAGTTTTAGAAGATTAAGGTGAATGATATTTGGATATAAATTTTTTTATTATCCAAGTCCACAGTGCAAACATTCTTTGCTTTAATTCATACTCTTGCTAAATTTTTAATACCTGTACTTGTAACAGCCTGTAACTGAGGTTGACAACCAAGGTTTTCAGTGCTCTATGATCACTTTATTCAGCCTTTCAACATCAATCAGAAATTTTCAAAGACAAGGAGGGCTCTGCATCCCTCCCCTAAGGTGGAGAGATCCTAATTGATTTTTGAAGACTGATTTGTGGTATGCTTAAATTTGGATTGGTTAGAAATTCAAAATTTTGCTCATAATATAAACCAAATGACATTTTGCTTTTTTTATTTTTATATAATATAAAATTATATTTTTGTTTCAGAAGACAAACTGTACTTGTTAAATCCTTACAAGAAACTTAGTCACAGATTGACTTGGGATTTTTAAAAAAAAAAGCACTTACTGGTACTTTAACTGTAAAAGTTGTGAGCTTATTCAGAGAGGTAACTCATGAGACTGAGCAAGTTCTCATAATGTGATCTATGTGGTTTTGATTCACTGTACCCTCAGTGCACTACAGAGAAAAAACATTAGGTTGTGATGCAAGCTCACACACTGTATGTTATGTTTACTTAACTTTGAACTGTGAAAAGAGGAGGTAATAGACTTCAAGTGCAAGAAATGCAATAAAGTACGAGAAAATTTAAGTTTTCTTACTGAGATATATGGATCCATTAACCCCACAAAGTGTTCAGGGTTCAAAGGTGTAGTAGTAGGCTTTTGGGTCTGACGAGTGTCTGCACATAAATAATTTGTTTTTAAAAGTTGCATTTTTTTTAAGACTTCTTAATTTCTAATTTCTGGACTTGTGAGGTACTATTATGCTGCACATGAAAGTTCGATACCCTTTTCACTGCACAAATTTATTTAAATACAATGGTGTGGGAGTAAACAAGCAAATACCAGTTCTGTCCAAGTAAAAATAAATTGAAAACATAAGAGTGTACCTGAGTAATGTGAAAGTGAAAAGATGAATCACCATTCAAATACCTGTACAGCATATAATTTTTATGATCAAAGCACATTAATAGTGTATCAAGTTTGAAAAACCTTGGTCTCATATTCTGCTTAGGAAAAAAGTTCTAATGTAACTTACAAAACTTTTTAAGTATTACTAATAGGTGAAAACTTTTAAATTCTTTCATTTCAACAATACAGCATCACTTAATCTAATTCCCTTAACCCCTGATTAACTCAATTTACTAATACTTGCTACATATCACATTTGCAACTACTGTACAGTATTAATGATGCACATACATAATAATTCAGTTATACTCAAACTACTTTACCAGTGTGAATCTATATTTACAAATTCACAAACATACATATGTATATACAGTAAGACCCCTAAGTTTACATACCTTAGGTGCTGAATGTGACAAACTTGACTACTTTGCCAGCTATTGGTGATTTATGACATGGGTACAATGGACCTTGGGTAGTTCCCATGACACAGAGGTATAATAGATAATGAAAGTTATCAGACACAAATTGCAAGCACAGAACCTGTCACCATTGCTAGCTCAGTACAGTGGAATAATGGCTAGCAGGCTCAGGCAGTAGCAAGTGTCCAGATGCTATCACCATATTATTTTTGTCCTTTTAATGTTGACACTACAAATGCTGTAGAAATGTATAGTACTCAAAGCAAATGCCCTTCTTGACTATTTGTATCAATAATACAGTTAGGGTACCGGCAATTAGTATTTATGGTTTATTATCGTACAGTTGTCCACAGGTATGGTGTTCCACCCCTCAGTGGCCTTTCCGAACATGTGGTAATGTTGGAATCATAGTCAAACCTTCTTTACAGATATTACATCTATTATATCGCTTAACACAAATGTTGAGTACAAATATTACCGGAAAAAATATACTGTTGGTCACATGTTTAGAAAGGCCACTGAAGGACGGAACACTATACCTGTGGCAACTGTACAATAATAAACCATATAACTAATTACCGGTACCCTAACTGTATTATTGATACAAATACCCTGTAGTTAAGAAGAGCATATGCTTTGCATATACAGTACTACAGCATTTAAAGTAATTTAGGATAGGGATTACTGTACTTAAATTGCACTAGTGACAAAAATAAATATAATATACTGTACAGTACTGTATACAGTAAAATATTTGTCAACCAAATAGTTTGGGACCAATAGGCTTCCATAAAACAGATAATTGCATAAAGTGGAGGGCATGTAATAAACCACTATGCAGTAAAGTACTTGTCTCAGTTTGGTTATACAGTCAACCCTCGCTTTACACGGTCCCACTTTACGCGTTTCCACGTTTACGCGGTACCCTGCCAAAACCGGAATGCTCACTTTCCGCGGTGTGTGTACCCCTTTACGCGGAGAGCGGCGCGAGCAGGGTGTGCACAAGGTCGCCCAGTCATCAAAACATTACCGAGTTCTTCACCCGCCACCCACCACAGCCGGCCCAAGTCAGTGATAGTGAAAATGATAGTGAAGATATGGACTTATATGGACTTTGAGGGGTTTGACAAAGAGGCCCTGCAAGCCTCTGTGGTGGATAGTGATACAATTGATACAAGTGATACAGGTGAGGGCCAATAATCTGCCCTCTGCCTCGGAACCAACCCCCCATCTCCGTGTGCCCAGCTATCTTTTCTACTAATGTAAGTGTTAAAAAACCTAATATTATTGATATTTCTCTTAATTATTAATTGTGTGTGCATACCATCATAAAATTAAGAAGTTATTTTTACTACAACGTAGGTATTGCGTCTGAAAAAGTGGAGTTTGGGGGTCGGCCCGGTCTCTATTTCAATTAATCCCATATGTTATGTTGTTCACTTTACGAGGGCCGCCGTGGGTTGAATTAACCGCGTAAAGTGAGGGTTCACTGTACAGTATTATATAGTACTGTATTATTAGTTTCTGTAAATTTCTGTACACTAAATTACTTCATTGCTCTCCAATATTCAATGTTGTTAAGCCTACTTATCAGCTTTCAAAGTTTCATAATTCACCTACAATTGACATACAGCATAACTTAATCTTCAAACTCACATGCAGACACGTAGACTGTCACTAACACCATCACACACACACAGCCACTGAATCAATTGTCTAACTATCCAATTCTTAAATTCCTAGTTAGAATGCTCAAATCTTCCGTAAACTTATTATTTTATCAAGTAGGTTTTCGGTTGACAAATACTTTAATGTACTACAGTATTTTAAGTAATTTAGATAGCTATTGCAAGTGTTTAGCAACTTCCCATTACCAGGCCCAGCCACCACCTCCAAATATCCTTCCTCCTTCAATGTTAACTCATCTACAAAAAATACCTGTACTGTAAATACATACCCCAGTATAAGTGTGGAGGAGAGCACTGAAGAACAATTATACAGTATAGGGAACCAGGGATCATAAACCACAATTATTACAGACAAACACCTTATAATACTACCAAGGTACAGTATCACTAACCCCAGGAGCCTAAATTCTACATATACTGAAAAGTTACAGTATAAACTTAAATGAATTTAATATGCACTTACTATACAATGATCTAGCACATCAGATGAATTTAATATGTACTTACTATACAATGATCTAGCACGTCTCCATAAGTGGAAGTTTTTGATGAAATTTAGCACATTTAAGCTAATTTGCAATTAAAAAAATACATTTTAATGTTTTTTTACGAAGAGGGAATTATATATTAAACAACTATTGTACTGGGTATGCCTCTAAAAATGTTCCTGTATAGACACAGATATACTGTGCCTTGTTTTGAGTTGCCTTACTAGACTAGATTTTGCTTTATGTTGTTGATAAATTAAAGAATAAAATATTTTTACAAAAAAATTCTAAAAAACTTTTACGATACATAAACACAAGAGCAATGGACTACTTTGGGTAA